GAGATGGTTGGTTCCCTTGGAGGTCACAGGGCAGAGGAGGGAAGGAACTTAGCTTAACAAGCTCCTTTTACACTGGGCAGGATGGGCAGGCAGCAAGGGTAGAAGCAAGGGACCTCAGTGAGGAGGGGACTGCAATAGTCCAGCAGGTGCTGGAGTGACCCGGTGGTGGCTGTGGGGTGGGGGAACCCCACAAACACCGGGCATTTGGGGAAGCAGCTAACAGGATTTGCCTGTAGGTTGGACCAGGGGTGTGAGGAAGAGTCAACATCAACCTCAAGGCTCAAGCAATGAGAGGAGGGAGTTACCACAACTTGCGATGGAGAGACCGAGGCAGGAGCAGGTGGCATTGAATGAATGGAACCCGGCCTTGGACATGTGAGGTCTGAGCTGCTTATCTGACATCCAGGAGCCTGGGGGAGAGCTCTGGCTGGAGATAAGAAGTTGAGGACCCTCAGTATATGACGTATTTAAAGTGTGTTGTCTGGATGAACAACCTGAACCAAAACAGCACTTCTCTCAAATTGTAATGTGCATACAAGGCCCTGGGGATCTTGATAAAATGCAGGCTCTGATTCAGCAGGTCTAGGGCAGGGTCTGAGAAGCTCGCAGGAGGTGCTAGACCACCCTTGGAGCAGCAAAGATCTAGAACACCATATTTTACGGCTAAGACCCATTGGTGGGTCACAAAATCAACAGAGTGGATTGTGATCAGGATTTTAAAGAAAGTATAACAGGATAGATGCCCATTATAAGGGTATATACAGGTTCACAAAATGTTTCAATTATCTAAGCCTGAGTCCCAGGGTTTGTGCTAGAATACAATGTCATGGTCACAAAGGCCACTCCTGGCTTGGGAATGAGGGTAAACAGAGGAGAAGAGGCCCAGCAACCAAGCATGGGAGGCTGAGGAGGAACCAGTAAGGAGGCAGATAAGGGGATACGGAGGTGGGAGGAAAACTGAGACAGAATGTTCTGGAAGCCAAGGGAGGAAAGACAGACCCAGGTTTTTCATTATCCTCTGTTCCTCTCCAACCCTATTGTTTTGCAAACCTAAGCCTCAGTTTCCTCCATTGCAAAAGAGGGACGTGACGGTCTCAGCATATTGAGGTGACTGCAAGGTGGCACTTGGCACAGGGTTGGGGAAGAATGTGAATGTTGGAGGGATTTGCATTCTTGTCCTGGGCTTTGCGCTACCTCCAGACCAGCAGGCTGCCTTCCCATTGTGCAGATGAAGAAACTGGGACCCAGAATAGGGAAGGGTCTTGCCTAAGGCCACCTGGGACAGAGCCTGAATACCTGACTCCTAGTCCAGTGCTCTTTCCTTGCGTGTGTGGGTCTGGTGCTGCTGTTCTCAATAACCCCTGGCTCCAGGCCGGTGCTGGAGACGGGCAGCCGCCTGGGGGAGTCCCTGGAGGCCGCCTCAAATTCCTCCTGTGGCCAGAGGCCAGGGTAGACGTGCTCCGTCCCTTCCTGTGGCTGTGGCCCTCCTGGCCAGCCAGCAGGAGGAAGGAGCAGAACTTGTGGGCCTGCCCGCTGCGGGATCCAGCCACAGGGGCCTGGCCACTGGCCACATGTCTCTTTGGCGTGTGGATAGCCGGCACCTGAAAACATCTGTATCAGTCGGAGTCCCGCAGGAAACAGATGGCACGCTCCACTGGGATAGTTTGAGGAGAACATAATGGTCTGTTTACACAGGTGTGAGCAGGGTGTCTGGAGACCATAAGGGCGGCGGAGACCCCCAGGGCTGGCAGCAGCAGGGGCCGGGACCACCCCCAGCCTGAAGGGCTGCATGCAGAGGGCCCGGTCAGTGGCCCACCGTGGAGGGAGGCTTTTGCAGTGATGCTGCAGAGAAGGAGCCAGCGGAAGGGGTCCTCCCACTCCTTGCTCTGCTGATCTGCGCAGGGGTGAGGGGGTTGGGGGAGGAAGAGGTCCGTCAGGAGGCAGAGTGCATCTTGGGGGCAAACGGAAGACAGCTGACTGGAGGTCTGTCCCCAGCTGTAAGACCCTATGACCACCAGGCTTCCTTGGGTTACAGGTGAACCAGACCTGTGCCCCTATCACCTCCTGGCCGCCTTGCCTTCTCTCTTGCCAATGGGTTTCAGCCCTGGGCAAGTTCACTATAGATTCAATGTGACCAAAGAAACGACAGTAGAACGTTCTTGGGGTGAAAGGGTTTATACCCAACTTTATTCCCACGGTGACAGGTCAGTCACTAAAATCCCATCCACTCAGAGCGAGTCTGCATGCAGCAAACCGGTCACTGCCTCTGGGCCTCTCCGCCCCTGCAGCCATTTCAGCCTCTGTCCTCGGGGCTGCCACCACTCCAGCCTCATCTCTGCTCTCCTGCAGCCCTGCAGCCATGCCACTGCGTCACCCAAAGCACTGGGCAGAGCACTTTATAATAACTACGTCTTGCCCACACGTGTGTGGTGAGCTAGCCGACCAGGTCCAGGTGAGAATCCTGGCTGCAGGAACCTTCACTTTATCCACACCTCCAGGCACGCCAAGCTTCCAGTAAATGTATCTCAATGGCCAAAGAGTTCCAGGCTCGGTGCTGCAGACACAGCACTGCAGAGGCATCAAAGTCCCTGCCTGGAGGGACTATACAGTGGAGAGACTCCCACACATGACTCCACGCAAGCTAGAGGGTGGTGGGGAGGCCGGGGTGCTGTGGGGGCTTTGGGTGACCCCCTCTCTGCCCCTGGGTCCCAGTGTCCTCCTTCCTTCACGGTGTCTCCGGGTCAGGGCTCCAGGCCCTTCCAAGGCCACCTGTAGTGTTTTCTCTCCCTGGAGGTTTCCTACAAACACTTCCTGTGCCCACCTGTGGCCTCTCCCGCTTTCTAGAGAATCAGGTGGGTCTTTTTTACACCACGGGCAGGGATAGACTGTGCTTCATGGAGGGAAGAGGTTTGGGAAGAGCTTCCTATGGGATCGCCATTCTGGCCCTGCATGCCCTGACATCCATTCTGGACAAAAGTCCCCTCCACCCTGTGACACACACAGCCCAGGTGACACCTGTCCTCTCCACATTCAGCTCAGGTGGTGGCAGCAGGGAAGGAGGTAAGCTTGGAGTCAGGGGGTCACTTAAACTTCAGGAGCCTTGGGCTCCTCCTCTGTAAGTGGTTCAATGGCACCGGCCTCTGGGGGGCGGCCATGGGGATTCAGAGCTGATAAGGTGAACGCCTAGGGTGGGGCCTGGTGCACAGGCAGAGCTCAGCCCTCGGAGCTGGACTAACTGTTCCTGGGGCGCAGACCTGGTGGGGGCCTGCCGAAACCTCACCGCCACCTCCACCTCCCCACGGAAGCCTCCCTTTGCCTGGTGGTGCCCACCTCCCCATCTCTGTGCCTACAGGAAAAGGCAGACGACTGCACTCTCAGGGTGGTGCTGCCAGCCCCGTCATAGCCTTCCTGTCCTGCTGGGCACGGATGGGTGCCCTGTGCCCCACACCCACACCAGGAATTGGCTGGGCAACCACAGGACTGGGCGAGCAAACTGTCCCCCATCCCCACCCAAGGAGCCCCACTCACCCTCCCCCATCTCTGCTCCTACAGAAACCCACTCCTGCTCAGCTCCCTCCAGAAGCACCCAGGGTTCCCGTTTTCTCGTCCCTCCCTGGGCCTCGATTTCTCCAAGTGGGACACAGGACAAGTATAGAGAGAAAACCCCTAGCCCCACCCCCTCTGTGGGTCCTGCCAACACATACTAAGATTTGTCTTCTCAAAGCCCAGCTCTGCCAGTACCTTGTGCTGCAGAGCCTTCTGACTCCCCATGGCCTTTAGGATATAGTCCTGGCATTCAGGGCCCCCCTCCCAGAGCAGGGCCAGAGTCTGTCTCTCCGGGCTTCCTGTCCCCACCACACCCCTGCTTGTCCTACAGTGGTCCAACCACTTCCTGCCTCTGTACCTTTGCCCAGGCCTGTCCTCTGCCTGACATGCCCTCCTTACCCCTTTCTTCTATACCCCCCACCACACTCACCGGGTCTTTGCAAGGCTGGACCTAACGCCTCCTCCTCTGAGCAACTTTGGCCTGACATTAGATGCTACCAATGACTGGCACCATGGTGGACACACAGGTGGCACTTACTGTTTGCAGAATGAACAAAAGGCAGTTCTGAAACTGTCCCCCAGGTTCAGGGAGCATTAAAGAGGAGCACTTCCTGTGTGCCAGGCCCAGGGCTCAGCGTGCGAGGGCCCGACCCCTGGAAATCTCACCCCAGCCCGGTGAAGACGGCACTACTGTGCCTGCTAAACAGGGGCACTGAGCCTTGAGGGGACTTGCTCAAGACCTCACAGCTCAGAGCAGGCAGAGCCAGCCCAGGGCAACCCAGGGCCCTCTGACTTCAGAAACACCACCAAAGTCTGTCCCCCTTTCATTTCGGGCTGTCTTTTGTTCCTGAAAGATTGTACACCCATGGAGGCGCAGACAGTGTGTGTGTGGCCCTGGCCAGGTCCCCTGTCAGCTCTGGGGAGACCTCAGCCCCAGCCGAGTGTTGTGCCGATTTGGGGTGTTCCATCCCTACTCTGAGCCTCAGTGTCTCCCCCCAGCTGGGTGGCAGGGTGGCATACGTACGTAAGCCAGCTTTGTGCCTGATGAGAACTGTTCGAATCCCAGCTCCACGATCTTCGCGGGCCGGTCGGCTCACAAACAGCCCTGTTTCCTGATCTGCAAAATGGGGACACTGCGTCCGCAGGGCTGTGAGCTCCGCATGAGCCGCCCTGGCCAAGGCCTGGGCCCTGGAAGGGCCCCATGGGGGGCTCTCAGGGTGATTGTGTTCAATTGCCCCTTGGGGGCTGCCGGATGAACCTCACCAGCCAACCCCGGAGAGGGTGAGATGGGAGGGGGTGTGCATGAGGAGACCAGCCTGGAGCCTGGGTCCCACCCCCCCTACTCCCCCACCCCACCCCCGCCTGAGGGCCCCCCACCCAGCGACAAAGCCCATGCACTTCCTCTCCCCGCCTGGCAGGCCGCCTGGCCCGGCCCCTTCTCTAAGGAAGCGCATTTCCTGCCTCCCAGGCCAGGCTGGATGAGCCGGAGCTCCGCGGGCTGACGGTCATACCCCAGCTTCCATCTGCATCCACAGGCCTGGACTGCTGCTGCCCCCCGGAGCCCGGCACCCCTCCCGGCTCAGCCTTCGGCCGGCGACCCCCCGCCTGGCCCTGTGCCCACGTGCCCACGTGCCCACTTCTCCTGACCCCTTGGCTGCCACCTCAGAAGGCTGGAGCAGGGACGCCGTCACTCCGGCCGCCTGCTCCCCTTGGGTCCCCGCGAGAGCCCACGCCAGCCCCCGCGCCCGCCTGCAGCCCTGCCCCTGGACACCGGATAAGGCCCAGCACACAGACCCCAGGTGGACAACATGGACCATGGCACGCTGCCCCCCGTCGCTGCCCTGCTGCTGGCTGTCTGCAGTCTCAGGCCCACAAGTAGGTGTCCAGGGACTCGGGGTGGGGAGACTGGGCCCCCGACGCACAGGCCAGGCCCCAAGTGTTCCCGGCCTCTACCCTATGACCCAAGCTCATGCCCAGTGGAGCTGACCTAAGGGTTAGACAGCCTAAGGTGGGCACCAAGGTGGTCGACCATCTCAGTCTGGTGGGATGAGAGCTTTCAGACCTGAAAGCCTGGGGCAAACAGAGCTGAGTTACTTACCGTGACCTGCCCCTGGCTCTACCCACCCGGCTATGTCCCGGTTCTCCCCAGGAAACCCAGGTCCCAGAGTGCTGCGCAGCCCCGGGGGAGTCTCCTGCCCTCTCTAGGCCTAGCTTTCCCATGGGAGTAGCATGCGGGATGGAAGGCATTGGTCTCACGGTCGGTGGTGGGGCTCTGGGTTCAAATCTCGCACGTTACTTCCTCATGGTGTCCCCTGGGGCCTCTGAGCAAAACGGGGTGAGAGCAGAGCTCCCTAGGTCCGCTGGGGAGTTGGCGGTGAGGACGCTTGTAGAAGGAGCTCCCAGGCAGGCCGGCTGTTTCTGGGCTGTTATTGCTGTTATTTTGTGGCCAGCTCTGCAGTCCTCCACCCTTACCTTCCCAGGGCCTGTGAGCGGCGCCCTTTTTTTTTTTTTAACATTAAAAATATTTTTCCCAGTCTTTAGCTTTCCTTTTCTTTTTTTTTCTTCTTATTTTGGTATCATTAATCTACAATTACATGAGGAACATTATGTTTACTAGACACCCCCATCACCAAGTCCCCCCCCCCACCCCATTGCAGTCACTGTCCACCAGCGTAGTAAGATGCTGTAGAGTCACTACTTGTCTTCTCTGTGCTGTACACCCTCCCCGTGCCCCCCCACATTATATCTGCTAATAGTAATGACCCCACTTTTTTTTCCCCCTTATCCCTCCCATCCCACCCATCCTCCCCAGTCCCTTTCCCTTTGGTAACTGTTAGTCCGTTCTTGGGTTCTGTGATTCTGCTGCTGTTTTGTTCCTTCAGTTTTTTCTTTGTTCTTATACTCCACATATGAGTGAAATCATTTGGTATTTGTCTTTTTCTGCCTGGCTTATTTCACTGAGCATAATACCCTCTAGTTCCATCCATATTGTAGCAAATGGTAGGATTTGTTTTCTTCTTATGGCTGAATAATATTCCATTGTGTACATGTGCCACATCTTCTTTATCCATTCATCTACTGATGGACACTTAGGTTGCTTCCATTTCTTGGCTATTGTAAATAGTGCTGCGATAAACATAGGGGTGCATCTGTCTTTTTCAAACTGGGCTGCTGCATTTTAGGGTAAATTCCTAGAAGTGGAATTCCTGGGTCAAATGATATTTCTATTTTGAGTTTTTTGAGGAACCTCCATAATGCTTTCCACAATGATTGAACTAATTTACATTCCCACCAGCAGTGTAGGACGGTTCCCCTTTCTCCACATCCTCACCAGCATTTGTTGTTGTTTGTCTTTTGGATGCTGGCCATCCTAACTGGTGTGAGGTGATATCTCATTGTGGTTTTTATTTACGTTTTTCTGATGACTAGTGATGTGGAGCATCTTTTCATGTGCCTGCTGATCATCTATCTGAATTTCTTCTTTAGAGAACTGTCTATTCAGCTCCTCTGCCCATTTTTTAACTGGATTATTTGCTTTTTGTTTGTTGAGGTGTGTGAGCTCTTTATATATTTTGGATGTCAACCCTTTATCGGATCTGTCATTTTTGAATATATTCTCCCATACTGTAGGATGCCTTTTTGTTCTATTGATGGTGTCCTTTGCTCTACAGAAGCTTTTCAGCTTGATATAGTCCCAGTTGTTCATTTTTGCTTTTGTTTCCCTTGTCCATGGAGATATGTTCATGAAGAAGTTGCTCATGTTTATGTCCATGAGATTTTTTCCTGTTTTTTTTCTAAGAGTTTTATTGTTTCATGACTTACATTCAGGTCTTTGATCCATTTTGAATTTACTTTTGTGTATGGGGTTAGACAGTGATCCAGTTTCATTCTCTTACATGTAGCTGTCCAGTTTGAGCGGTGCCCTTCTGAACACAGTCCTCTCCCTGGGCCCCGTTTCTCTACCCGCAAGAAGTGTGCCAGATGGGGAGGCAGGCCCACACTAGAGGTCCTGAGGGGGCTCCTCAGTCTGGGGATTTTCCAGGCAGTCATGGCCTCTACTGCCTTCTGAAATCACCAGACGAGGGGCCCTGAGGAATAGGGGACTCTCAGCCCTTTGTCCCACTCACCATGGGCCCCCTTGCCCTGCTCCTCATCCCCCTAAAACCACAGGACAGCCTTGTGCACACCCCTTCACCCAGCGTGCCTCCAGGGACTCTGTGAAGGATGTGGGGTGGGAAACAAGAAGGGAAAGAACAGTAGCAGAGGCCACCCCCTCCCCAGCTTCACTCACCCAAAGCATGTTTAAGTCCCTATCCTGGTCTCTAAAGCTCTGACCACTGCCCCACTGATGGACAGGACTGAGTCTCAGACATTAAGCGACCTAGCTGGGCTTTGACCCCAGGACAGGGACTCCTCTGAACACTTGCCCTTAATCATGTGTGACACAGCAGCCCCTCTTGACAGAGCTCCCGCTAATCCAAGAAGATGGCTGCCATTGTCACCCCATTTTACAGGAGAGGAAGTGGAGGCCGTGACCTGCTCAGGTCACACAGCTCAGATAGGAGCCCTACCTGAGCCCCCTCATAGGCTTCCAGGCCGCCCTGTCTTTCTCCTGCCTCCCCCACACTTGTAGCTTATGGCACTCTTCCTCTTGGGCATCAGGGAAGTAGCCGTGCAGGTCTTCGGGGTCTGGTTTTACAGGATCAAAGGCAGTGGTGTGCCGGCAAATAATTGACATCAGCAGCGGGAGGTGGGCGTGGGCAGCGTTTGTCCATTTCTGTGGTGTAACCTTTCCGGTGCAGCTGATTTCAAGCTACTGGCTCACTAAACTTGGAGCTGGGACTGTGGCACAGTAGTTCACCTTTATCTAGTATTTCCACCACACAGATACGACAGACATAACCTCGAGAGCATAGATAATAGTAAAATGGAGTATAATAATTATAAAGTGACGAGTTTTGAGATTCATTATTTTTAAATATATATATAATGTATTTAATTGTAAGTTTACAAAATTTAGTTTTTAATAATGGCTGTGTTTAACAGCCAATTAGAAAAACTCCCGATAATTTATCAGTGCGCTCCTGCGACCAGGTACTGGCATCCCAGTGATCATAGGGTTCAAGGGCACTCCAAACCATCAAGTCCCACTTATTCACAGTCTGGGAAACTGAGACCCGTGGAGGGCAGATGGGGCCTGGAATGGAGATCTCCACGCTGGTGGAGAGGGTAGGAGTGACCCAGGCATCCTCATTCAGGCTGGAGGAGGTGCAAATGGGTCCAAAACAGGTCTAAAAATGGGTCCAGCCTTCTGGGAACACAGGTTGGCAGAATCTCTCAAAACCACAACTTGTGTACCAACTCAGCCTTCAGAAATGAGCCCTACGGAATTGTTTGCTCAGCTCTGTAAAGCCATATCGTCCTTAGATACCTGTAACAAAAAGCCAACAAGCAGAAATCCCCCCAAATGTCCACCAGCCTGGGTCCTAGTAAATGAATTTATACCATGCAGCCGTTACCAAGAAAAAACCCTGTATCTACACTGCTATGGGCTGGTGTCTTGGACACACTGTTAGGGGCCCAAACGGCACTCATTCCATTTCTGTAAGAGTAAAATAGTAATAATGCATCATATGCACAGAGTAAGCCCCGACGTCATTGTTCTATAGCATGGGGTTTCTTCAGGAGATTTTTGCTTCCTAAGACACACTTTTTGCCAAGTTCCAAATTTTTTTAAGAACGTGTAGAGATTTTTAAAAAGCAATTTTAACTATGTATTCACTTCAGTTCACTCCTCAAGGAAAGTAGATAAGAGGGAAAAAGACTACCTCCCAGGCTCCTTTATTAAAATGGGCACTGTTGGCATCCTGGTGGGTTGCTTCCTAGTTTTTGTCCAGCTGTTTAAAGTCACTGTAATGCAGGTGGATCAATATTTGGGAGTCTTGTGTACCTTTCTGGTGTCCCAGAAGCTTTCTGTGTTGTCAGGTGGACTCCACAACTGTCCCATGGCGGCCCTGGGATGTTCTCTCCCTTAAATGTGCCACCCATCCTTTGCCTAATGGATCTCCTATTGTTGAAGATTTGGGTGGTTTCCCTTTGGGGCTAGTTATAAATACCGCCTCTGTGCACATTTTTGATACATGACCCTCTTCCTGTATTTTGGAGCACTTCACTTGGATAGAATCCCAGGAGGGGGACGCTGGGGTCGTGGCCCATGTTGGTGGCTGGGATCAATGAGTGTTTCCTAAATATGGATGAACGGTCGCGGGAGGATGGGGCAGAGGCATGACTTAGAGTCCCCGTGCCGCCGGCCACTTGTGTGCGGATCTGGGACTCTCTGGAGACCGGGGTAATGATGCCGGCCAAAGACCACAAAAATCCGTCTCCTGAAGGCTGCATTCACGGACAGCTTCCCATGTGCCAGGAGATAGAAGGGGTTGGAGCAGGAGCTGCGTGAGCAGGAGAAAGTGAGTCCCTGGGGACAGTGGGGACATGACCGTGAAGATTCTCTCCCACCTCGGCCAGACAGACGGTGACACCGAGGCTCAGAGGGAGAGCTGGATTTGGTCTCTCTCATGGTCATGGAGGGATCAGTGCTAAGCCCTCTGATGAGAGTCCTGGTGTGTTCGCTCAAGGGCCTCTGGGGATCTGGGCAAGAGGGAGCAGACCACCTATTCGTGCACCCAGTGAGCAGGCAGATTTGTCCCTATACCTAGTCTACAGATGCGTAAATTGAGGTTCAGAAGAGGTTATGGGTTCAGATTTCAACCCCAGGCCGTCTGCTCACAAACCCAGCCACTTTTCCTTGCACCTTTGGTCGCCTGGGCACGGGAGGCTTGGGGAGCTGATCGCCCTGGCTCTGGAGTGCCCTTTCTAGCTCCAGCCCCAGCGTGGGGGCATCACCTGGAGGCTGAAGAGGACCCTCATCCAGAGCTGAGCTGACTTACATACCTGTGCCAAGGATGGAGGTGAAGAGACACATGAAGCAGCTGACATTGATTCAGCACTTGTATCAGTATACCACACACTGCGTTAGACCTGTTGTGTGTAGTTCGCAAAAGCCCTACAAAGCAGACCCCCCTGTCACCCCTACTTTATAGCCAAGGAGACCAGGGCACAGGCAGGTGAAGGCATCTGCTGGAATAACAGCCCAGAAATGAGCCACTGGGTCTTGAGCCCTGGACCTAACCACGCACCACAGTGCCGAAGGGAGATGACGAGGATCTTTCTGTTGCCAGAGCTTCTCACCCTGGGTATTGGGTCCCTTTGCTGCACTTACAGTGGCCCTCCCACCTAGCGCATGACTGGATGGTTTCTGATGAGAAGATTTTTGCAATAGGGTTTTGAAGGATGAATAGAAGTTGAATAAGTGGTTGGAAGACTGTTGGCCTGGAAAGAGCATTGCAGAGGCAATGGACAAGGTGTGTTTGGAGGAAAAGCTCACATCTCCCCACTGACTGGGCATAAATGATCGTGGCCATAGTAGCCAGTTCCTGAGGAACCCTCATGTATGGGTAGCCTGCTTAGCACTGTGCAAGGGTCATCTTACCAACATTCTCACCAACTGGAGGAAGAATTGTGCAGAAGAAGCTGTTGTGATTATCTTCATCCCCATTTTACAGATAATAACACTGAGGCACAAAAAGGAAGTTGGAAGGTAGTGGAATCAGGATCTGAACCTTTGGCATCTATCAGATCCCTGCACTTCTTAACTGAACTCTGGCTGTGGAGGGTGGACTGGAACCTGCAGGATTTGGGGAGCCATGGGAAAGACCGGGGAAAGGAGGTGCTGAGACCTTGCTGGTGGCCTGTAGTTAGGCTGGAAGCTGGGAAATCTGTGAGGCTATAATTGGACCCCGAAAGGATCAGAGGGTGACTGTGTGGCTGGGCAACTGAGGAAAGGCAGAAAAGATGCTTGTCAAAAAGGATCTACCCTGGAATTACAAAACAGTCATAGCTACTGTGTGCAGGACACTTACATTGTCAGGCTCTTTACATGGGTCACTTACCAAGCTGATGCACAGCCTGCAAAATGGGTGCAGTGCTAGAGCCAGGTGTCCTGGGTTCAAATACAAGCCTGCTGCTAACAGCTAAGTAACCTTGGGTAGAATCTTGCACCCCACTACTCTTCAGGTCCCCATGTGTCAAATAGCTATAATAACAGTGCCCCCCCTTGTAGGGCTTCTGTGGGGAGCAAATGAATGAACTCATGTAAAGCCTCAAAAAGGTACCTGGCTCCCAGGAAGCATGATGGAAGCTGCTTTGCAAATGGGGAAACTAAGGTTCAGAGAAGTCAGGTCTTTGCTCAAGGTGACCACTCTGTAACAGGCAGGGCTGGGATTTGACCCAGGCTATCTGGCTCCAGAGCTGCTTGACTTTCACCCTCTGTGGCCTCCCAAGGTGCTGGCCGTCGCTCTTTGGAAAGCACAGGGGTGGCTCTGTGCTCATGGGTGGGGAGGAGGAGGAAGGGGACCGAGGTGGAGAGGTGGCTCCTGGGTCTCTCACTGGGGCCAGTCACCTAAGCATCCAGTGGCGCCTCCTCCAACCCAGGTCCCGGGAGGCCCTGGCTTTCCCTTGGTGCCAGGGGATTGTTTTCAGCTCTGTCTGGGCCCGCCTCCGGCTCCTTGAGACAGGCCCGGGCGTCACACTCCCTCCTGTCTCCCCATTCTCGTCTGCGGGGTGGGGGCGGCCAGGATTCGAAAAGGCCCCAAAATAAATGGACCTCTTATCTGATCTCCCAGCCTGGCCTGTTATCTGATCATTACATAATGGCCAGGCCTGTGGCCTCTCCGGCTGGCTGACGGCATGGAGGAGGTGGCCCCGGGCGGCCCCGGCAATCCCGGAGGAACTGGGGTTCCTGGAAGTCTGGGGAGGGGGCAGGGAACATGCAGAGGGGTGGAGGAAGGCGCTGTGCTGACCTGCAGCCCGGACCCCTGATGATGTGGGGAGAGGCAGTCCGAGGCCCGGCCTGGTCAGCCATGTGCGGTGTGACTCTGGCACATGTCACCTCCCTGGGCCTTGGGCTCCCCATCTTTACAGGAGGGACTTGAGCCAGGTGACAGCCAAGAAGTCTGTGTTCACTGATAGGGAAAGGGGGAGGGTGGGGAGCCCTGAGGGGCTCGTGGGTCACAGCAGGGGGGACAGCAGGAGGTGACGCCAGCCCTTGAATCTGCGGGTGGAGGACCCAGTTGGCCTGAGGGCCCAGTGGCCTCCCTCTCAGGAGTCTCTCACCTGCAGGCTGCCCATCCCACCACTTCACCCCCCAGGCAGTCAGTTCTTCTCCAGGGACTGAAGTCAGTCAAATAATTGTGATAAAAGGAAACGCCACGTGCCCTGTCCCACCGAATCCTCCCAGCAACCTCCATGGGTTGTATGGGTTCTAGTCTCATTGTCCTTTTACAGATGAGCAATTGAAGCCCAAGTTGGTGACATCGTTCACTAAAGCCACATAGCTAGTAAGTATTGGGTGTGAGATTCAAACCCAGGTCACCCTGGCTCCAGGGGCTTTTAACAAAAATGCCGTATTAGCCAAGTTCTCTGGCATCCCTGGTACCCAGGTCGGGACCAGGACTTAGAAGGCCTGGTGGCCAAATGTCTGCAGACCTCACCCTTCCCAGGATGTTGCTGCTGGGTGGTGCACTGTGGCCCTCTGGCGTCCTTCTCTGACCTCCCCGGGTCCTGAGCCCAGCAAGGCCAGGGAAAGGTGGGGAAACAGGCCGGGTTAGGCAAAGACAGCCCAAGGGCCCTGGATTCGGAAGAAGTCACCCTACCCCCCTCCTCTGCACTGGCAACAACGGCTGGACGTGCGGCCAGACCCTCCGCGCCCATCTTTGATCTCCAAGAAAACAGGAAGTGAGCGCGACAAGATGGAGACATGAACTTCCAAACAGTCTCCCCTTCTGTCCCCCTTCCCTCCTCCGGGAGCCCCCCTTCCCCGGCACATTCTTCAGGACGAGGTGTAGGGGCCTCATTTCCTCTTCCTCCTCTGCTGGGTCAGGGTGAAATTCCATTCCCTTCCCTCAGGACCTGCGTTTCCGGGCAGCCCCGTGGCGGGCTCCGTGGCCTACCCTGGCAGCGGCCCTCCAGAACCTGGGCACCCTTTGGGCTCACTCTGTCCCCTGGGGCCAGGAGCCTCAGCCCTCCTCGGCCCATTTCTCCCAGCCTCCCGGAGGGGCAAGAGGGAGGTTTTGTCTCCCGATCTCTTGTCTTCCTTCGGAGTGAACCTGCCTGGAGCCTTGGGCCCTGCCGCACAGTTAGGGTTGCCAGATACAGCAAATAAAAATAGAGGATGCCCAGTTAAATTTGAATTTCAGCTAAACAGTTTTTAAAAATTTACTATGTCTCATGCAATATTTGGGGGTATACTTATACATATTTTTTAATTATTCATTTTTATTTATTCACATTTAACTGGGTGCCCTGCATTTTATCTGTCAACCCTACACCTAGTAGTACTGTGACCTCAGGTAAAAGACTTCTTTCTGAGCCTCAGTTTCTCCATCTGTGGAATGGCTATGATGGTTTTCACTTCATAGAGTAGCCATGGAGATGCATAAAGCCCTTAGCCAGTGCCAAGCACCCAGTAGGCCCTTAGAAAGGGGGGATAATTGTCACCACCCGATTCTTATCTGGTCCTCTCTCCTGCTGTGCTTCCCCCGACAGGTCTTGCAGAAACAGTCCATTGTGACCTACAGCCTGTGGACCCCGAGGTGACATACATCACAAGCCAGGTTTCTGAGGGCTGTGTGGCTCAGGTCCCCAATGCTACCCTGGAAGTCCACATCCTCTTCCTGGAGTTCTCAAGGGTAAGTGCCCCATGGCAGGGTCAGGTGGGGACCCCGAGGAAGGCCCAGGGCTGATGGGTGAGGGAACACCTTCCTTGTGGCTGTTCCTGGCACCATGGGCTGAGTCTTCACAAGGATCCCTGCCAAGAGGGTGACGTGGGCATCTCACAGGGCCTCTAAGGGGTAGCATTTCTGGGGCCAGCATCAGGGCAGTCTTCTGGGTGCCCCCCAGGTGGGAAGGGCTGGGTTTGGCTGTGACCAAGTGGAGGAGAGCCAAATGGGCAGTGGTGAGGACCGGGCGAGCTGTGGCACCTGCAGTGGTGAGGAGCAGCAGACATGGCTTCCAGTGGACACAGTTCATCGCTAGGCAGCTTTGACTTTGAGGAAGGGCATCCTTAGCTGAGCCCCAATCTTCCCCCCTAGAATTTCTCCCATCAAATATCTCTGACCTGGCCAGGGAGCCTCAGAGATTGGAAGCCAGCGATGCCACCTCAGAGACTATTCTCCCCACCAAGAACACTCCCGCGGTCACCATCAGTTTGTCTAAGTCCCACTTAATAAAAACACATTTAGTGAGCACTTACTATGTGCTAGGTACTAGGCTAGGCCTACTAAGCAACAGGAACTGAGTTAAACATTTTACATGTATTAAGCTTCCCAAAGGCCCATTGGTCAGGGTCTGTTACTATCCCCCCTTTTCAGAGGAGGAAACCGAGGCAGCCCTTGAGAAGTGAAGCGACATGTCCAAGGCCGGAGTTCATGTCAGACCCCAGAGACACCAAGCTAGGCTGTCACCTGGCTCCCCAGTGGATCTCAGTGTTCAGGCGACATCTGTCCTGCCTGGGCTGGTGGCCACACCTGGCTGATGTGGCCTCAGGTCCCGATAGCGATTTAGTGGTGTCAGCTTGGGGTGAACTTGTGGCCAATCACTCCCAAAACTGTTAAGTTGCCCTGCGTTTGTGCGGTGATAAGACGGTGCCCAGACCACCAGTATCGGGGGGCCTGCTCCCCACCGCCCTGCCTGCCCTGAGGACTGTGGGCCTCGATAATCCTCAAACCGCAGATAGCGCCAAACACGTTATGTGGTTTTCATAGCCATTGTAATTTTTTTCCGAGCTTGGTAATGATATGGAAAATTAAGATTGCCTGCAGTAAGTTTATTTCGTTTGTTCTCATGGTCGGGTCTCTGTGCCTCCTCTGAGTGACTGGGATTCCTCCACCCTAATCACTCAGCAGCAGGCCAGTCAGAGGAAGACCGCGCCGGGTGCCGGGTGTTTAGGACATAGATGTGCAGCCAGCCAGCCGGGACCCAGTTGACTGTGTTGGTGCTCTGTGGGAGCACAGGGCAGGGCTACCCCAGCTGCTGTGGGAATAGGCAGAGCTTCCTGGAGGAGGCAACAATACTCGAGACAGCCAGGCGCCCACTGTATGAAGGAGGCAGCCGTGGGGATGAGCAGCGAACAGGGTGAATGCACAGGTGGGGCCATGGGCTGTGGCTGGTCAGCCTACGGTTCCAGCAGCAGGAGCTTCCAGTTCATCTCTGGCAGGGCTGGGGAGACGGACAAGACCCTCGCCTTATTCAGGGGTTTGGCCTTTCTCCAGTGGGCACTGAAAGTCCCTGGAGGCTTGTTAGGGACATGCAGGGTGCTGTGGCGACTCATGTCGCCCTAGAGCTCATGACGATAGCATCTGCCACCCTCTGCCTCTTCCAGAGAACTCAGTCCACGGAACATCAGCTTTTAACTCAGGGCACCCGACTGCAAGCTCCAGGACTGCAGGGAACCTGGTTTGAGGGGGTGGTGGAGAGAGCTGGGGTTCAGGAAACCAGGGCTCCAGGCCTGGATCTGCCACTGGCTAGCACCTCATATGGGGCCTGGCATGCAGAGGGAGCTCCTTATTCCTGCTGTCCAGGAGACACACGTTTCTTGGGCTCAGGGACTCACTGAAGAATTGTGGAGTATTGGAATCTGTCTCAGGGCCTGGCATATGCCAAATAACTGTTTGGTAAAACTGTAAATGAATGAATGAATGAATATACTGCTACATGACCTCCATGCAAGGGTCAAGAACATGGATTCCGGAGCCAGACAGTGTTCCAGTTGAATTTTGGCTCCCCACTTACAGGAGCACAGCCTTGGGCCACCCCTCCAAGCCTTGGTTTTCCCACAGGAAACATGGAGACAATACTGGCACCTACCTCACAGGGGCCTGGAGACTCCAATGGGCAGCAGGCAAAACATTGAGCCAGTAGCTGTGCTGTCGTGGTTTCTATAGCGTCTCCTCTTTGGGTTCCATGTCTCACTACAAATGTGCTCTTCCTGCTGGGCATGCTGCCGCTTACAGAACATCTTCACATCAGCAAACCGATTTGATCCCCCAAATAGCTCAGGAAGGGGCCGTGAGTCCATTTTCAGAGGGGCAACCGAGTCCAGCCTGATGGAGCTGGGCCTCCCCCCAAGTGCTCCTGGCCTCTCTGCCCCAAGCGTCAAGCCCATGATCCCCCCAGGCCCTACTGCTATGACACTGAAGGGCCTGTGGTTTCCCTGGGGGGTACCTTCCTCCCCAAGTAGTCCCCAAGAAAGGGGTCCACTGCCTGACAAGCCCTCTCAACCAATCCTCGGCAGGTACCTACTTTGTGCCCAGCCTACATGGGCATTGATGGTGGAGAGAGAAAGCAGACAGGGACCCTGTCCTTGAGCCAGTTCTAAGCCAGGGGAGGCCAAGGTGAGCATCTGCAGAGCTGGTACTAATGATGGAATCAGCCCTGGAGGGAGGGAGGGAGTATAGGGGGCTGTGGGCCCTGGGAGGGCCAGGACTGAATGTGGAGGGAAGGGGGCAGTAGGGGAGAGGTTCCCAGTATCTAGCCAGATACAGAGAGGGATCAAGGGCATTCCAGGCAGAGGGCACTGCAGGAGCAAATGCCTAGAGGCAAGAAACCTGAGCTGGCAGCGGTAGCGTGGGTTGGCAGCTGCCTGAGCAGCTGGCCCCATCCTTCCCGACCTATGGCTGCCTTCTTCAGGCCCTGGCATGGAGGCCCAGTTTTCCCGTCCATCCTTGCGTAGCCTCTGAATCCTCAGATTTCCTGTGGGTGGGTGGCAGATGAGCTGTGGCAGCCAAGAGTCTTGGGGCAGAGAGGTTCGCGGGGGGTGTGTGTGCATGTGTGCGTGTGTTGGGGAGTTTTGCAGACAGATGAGGGGGCTGCTGGGCAGGGGCTCTATCTCGTTGGGTCCCCAAAGGCCAGGCCGGAGCCTGGATTCCGGGAGGGGGCCCAGGGTCATATCCTGACTGGTGGAGACAGGAAACCGGCCTGGTGTCTCAGCGATTCCCGTCAGGCTGACTGCACTAATCTGCTGTCCTCCTAACAAACCCCAGGCAGCCAGGCCACAGCTGGGGCAGCCGCTGATTCACCTCACTTTTAGGCACACTTGGAGAGCCACGATGCCCCACCCATCCCCAAGCCAGACTGTTGCACTGACTCACTCCTGACCAGGGGGTCAGGCATGGCTGCTCAGGCAGAGGGGAACGGGAGGAGGCCCAGGCTCCTCCAGACTGCCCTGGGGAGCCATGGAGGGCTGTGGAAAGCAGTGCTGCCCCAAGGCCTAGGCAAAGCAGGGCCCCTGCCTGGGTCCCCAGTTAGCAGCCTCTCATCAGCCTTCTTCCAGTTGCAGCCCTCCCACAGAGTAGGGAGTCTGCAGGGACAAAGGGATGTGCCCACCTGGAGCCTGCACCCCTCTCCCTAGTCCATGCTCTGGGCAACCTGGACTCCGGAATTCCCTGCCCAAATGCGCTGAGCCTCTTCCCAGGGCTGCATCTGGCTCTGTCTTGTGCCATCCTTTAGGGGGGCACTACATGGCTGGCATAAGCTCCCCTGGACCTGAAGGGTGGGTGAGGTGACTATGTGCGGGGGGTGGACTCGCAGAGCTTGGGCATCCGGGCTGGGTTGTCCACTTACATAGTCATGAAGAGAAGGGGATGAAGAAAAGGGGGCAGGCTGATTAAAACCACAATGAGATATCACCTCACACCAGTTAGGATGGCCAACATCCAAAAGACAAGAAATAACAAATGCTGGCGAGGACACAGAGAAAGGGGAGCCCTCCTACACTGTTGGTGGAAATGTATATTAGTTCAACCATTGTGGAAAGCAGTATGGAGGTTCCTCAAAAAACTAAAAATGGAAATACCATTTGAGTCAGGAATTCCACTCCTAGGAATTTACCTGAAGAAAACAATATCCCTGATTCAAAAAGACATACGCGCCCCTATGTTTATCGCAGTGCTATGTACAGTAGCCAAGATATGGAGGCAACCTCAGTGTCCATCCGTAGGTGACTGGATAAAGAAGAGGTGGTACATATACACAATGGAATATTATTCAGCCATAAAAAGAAAACAAATCCTACCATTTGCAACAACATGGATGGAGCTAAAGAGTATTATGCTCAGTGAAATAAACCAGGCGGAGAAAGACAAGTACCAAATGATTTCCCTCATTTGTGGAGTATAAGAACAAAGGAAAACTGAAGGAACAAAACAGCATCAGACTCACAGACTCCAAGAAGGGACTAGTGGTTACCAAAGGGGAGGGAATAGGGAGGTGGGAGGGGGAAGGGGATTATGGGGCATTATAATTAGCACACACAATATAGGTAGGTCATGGGCAAGGCATGATAGCAGAGAGAGGGCAAGTAGTGACTCTATAGCATCTTACTACGCTGATGGACAGTGACTGCAGTGGGGTGGATGGGGGGGAACTTGATAATATGGGTGAATGTTGAAACCAGTGTTGCTCATGTGAAACCTTCATAAGATTTTCTATCAATGGTACTTTAATTTTAAAAAAGAAAAAGAAAAGGCTGGGGGCCAGGGCCTGCCATTTGTATTTGTATCCCAGGCCTTGCAGAGATTGGGGCAGGCTTGGTGGAGGAGTGCGGACTGTGGTCAGACAGGCTGCCCGGGGATTGCGTTTGCTCTCTTGCTGCTGTAGCCCCAGTGTCCAGCTCAGGGTCAGTCTGAGAATAACTATCGGATGGATAGATGTGTAATGGAAGGAAGGGAGGGGAAATGTACACGCACACAAGCATCTGCTGATTGGCCATCCCCAAGGGATCCGTGATGTCACTTGCTGTTCATCTCTGGTTGTTTGGGGGTGTTAGTCTTGTTCTCTGCCAAGCTCCTGGAGGATAGAGTCGTGCCTTCTTCCTGTCCCCCTTTGGGAGCACAGAAGCCCCAACACTGACCTCTCAGATGGGCAAATGAACTGGGGAGAAGAGGGCTTGGACTGGTCAGGGACCATAGCTGGAGAAAGTAACATGTCTCTCCTGAAGGTTCTGAAAGTCTACTGTGCGGCCACCTAGCTGGAGACCATGACTCCCAGATGCCAAACACTGGGACCCCTGGGAGGCAGGATGGAGTCCAGGGGGCCATACGATACTAGAGCATCACTGAGCCAGATGGGAGACCGCAGATGGGGAGACCGAGGCCCAGATTAGGGATGCCACAGGGAAGCGCAGCTGAGGCATGTCCTGGTTCCAGCTAACTGCTGCCCTCACCCAACACCAACCTCCCCTGCCCCCAAAGCACGGCACTCCTCTGGTGGGCGGGCAAGGAGGGAATCAGAGGTAACGAAAGCCAACCTATTCCTATGTATTTAGCTGGGCACTGGACAACCTGCTGTGCGGGCAGAATCTCACTAAATCCTTATAAATCTATGAAGTGGCCATATTATTCAGTCCATTTTCCAGATCAGGAAACTGAGGCCTAGAGAGGGGAAGTGACAGCCCAGAGTCACAGGTGAATGACTGAGCCTGCATTTGAATTCAGGTCAGTCTGGCTTGACCCCCGTCCCTTGCCACCCTGCGTGTATGTACCACCCTCATCTGCTGGGGTGGAAAGGACGGCTGGCTCCAATCCGGCCGGCTCCAGTCTGGCCCTGAGAGGGTGGGGGCTGCAGGCAGCCCCAAGGCTCCACTCCGAGAAGAATTGCTGGAAGCGACTTTCTATAAGTGGCTACTAGTGTTCAGGGCCTCCTCACCGAAATCCCCCCTTCCCGCCACCAACTGCTGGGCCAACAATGGCATCTGTGGGACACTGGCACAAAAATAGAAACGCGGTCTCCCGCCCACCCGCTCAGGGAGGGGGCGGGGGCAGGCCCAGGTTGGCCCAGGTTGCCCAGCTGGGGTAAGGGGGTGGTGGGCCTGCCCACCTCGGCTAGGCGCCCAGAATTCCCAGGAGGTCATTCAGAAGACTGGGAGCTTGGGGGTGGGGGGCAAGGCGGACCCCTTTCTTTGCCTTTGGGCAACTTGCTGGTAGGGAAGAGAGAAGTCAGCATGCGAGTGACTGTGCGGGTGAGTCAGGGCCACGGGATGGACATGCTCGCTGGGGAAATCCAGCTGCGTTTTGCTGGTAACCAGCTGGCCTTGGCCAGGCCCAAGGGCCCAGGGATCCCATAGAACCCAGGTTTCCAGCCCCCAGAGTTTCCACACTGCTCATTTGCTGGGTGACCCTGGCCTGTGACTGCCCCTCCTTCGGCCTCAGCCCCCGCCCACCTCCTGGCCTGCGACTCACCAGGGAGGGGCTTGGTGACAGTGGAGTGGTGGGTTTGTACATGAACTCTGGGAGAGGAGCTGGATGTGGTGACGAACGTCCCCAAGTTCCAGTGTCCTAATGCCCTTGCCTCAGCACGACCCAACACTGACCTCTACTTCTCTTTTTTAACTTCCTTAATCCAGAGCCCTACCTACTGCTGGTTCCTAACCCTGTCCTACCAGATGGGGAAACTGAGGCCCAGAGGACCAGGGACAGTTGCAGAGCAGCAGTGGGAATGGGTGTTCACAGGGCTCTTTCTGCCCAGCTGCTGCCTGTTGTCTGCAGCGCCCTCAGCCTGTGGGGGTCCCCCCAGGGCAGAGGCTGGAGCACCTCGTCCACCCGGCCATGGTAACACTAAACCACAGGGCCCATCTATTTGCCATTTAAGGGGCCTCAGAGTTCACTCTTCTGGGTGAGGACCACCTAGGGGGCTGGGCAGCGGTACCTGTGGGACAGCCTGGGAGAGCAGCAAGGCCGAGAGGGAGAATGCCATCCAGCTGCCCAGAAGCCCAGGGGCCATGGGCTCTGCTCCAGCACCAGGCTGCTGATGAGCCCTGGGCACCTGACTTTGCCACCCACCGTCAGCTCCCTTGGCCAGTTCTCTCCTTGAGCCTCAGTTGCTGCATCTGTAAAATGGGAGAACACAGACCCTGCTTCAAAGAGAGCACATGCAACAGGCTCAGCACAGGGCCAGGCACGGATGAGGTTGAGCCACGTAAAATGACTAATATTCAGCTGTTTCTTTTCAACAGCTTTATCGAGATAAAATTTTCCCATTTAGACTGTGCAGTGGGACAGTTTTTGGTACATACAGAGTTGTGCGATTATATTCCATTGTTCAAGCTAATGAACATAAGCTGGGGTGGGTCCATTCTCAAAGCTTCTGGCAGGTCGGCTGGGCCCAGGCCTTTGCCGAGAGCGCTGGTGTGGAGCTCCACGTCCTTGCAAATAGTGATCAGAATCCTAGAACAACGGATCGGTGCTGACATTTAGATTTGTATTTCGTATTTTACTGAACTATGATTTTAAAGCAGTATTTAGTGTCTGAAGTGTTTAGAAGGCATGATATTTTGAAAAATTGATGAAACAAGATATTTCAGAAACCAAAAGCTATAGGCCCATTAGAAACTTTAATTAATCAAGGTGTGAACATATCTGAACATAAATTTGAAACATATCATTCTACTATAAATCAGCATAAAAGTAATCATTCCAAAATAAACAAGCTGGATAACTCACTTAAAGATGAAAAAAAGTTATTTGTCACACAAAGAAAATGAAATACCATTTGCTTTTGTTTTAAAGAGCAAACTTACAAACAAAGAGTAATTATAGTGTCATTATTGAGTAGCGGAAATATTTCTGGACAGCTTTTTCCAGTGGCTGACACACTCGGACTCCATGACATCAGCTGGGGAAATAGCCAGGAGGTAATTAGAAGTTAAATCTAAAAACTTTCCACTGATGGCTTCATCTTGAAATCCCTCTCTCCTTGTTGATAAGTCTGAGGAAATTTGGGGGCTCAGCTTTCTGCCAGCTTTTGAGAGCTGCTGGAGTTTGTTTCCATAAAGTGTTTCCATTCGGCTTTGTCCCTGTGAGTCCGTGCCGGGGGCCCCCGCGGCATATACCTCTGTGACAGCAAGTCACTGCTCACACTCCATTGGTCCAGAAAGTCTTGGAGCAGAGCACTTGTCTGTTCGTTGGAAGTTTGCCTTGTGGACATTGTATTCTTTTTCTTCTTGGGAATAAGGAGGTAAAGAAAAATGTGGTGGGGCAGTAGGCAGAGTAGAGGCCTCCTCAAGTTCACACCCTAGCTCCACACTTGCTGTGTGACCATGGACAGATGACTTGATCTCTCTGTGCCTCATTTCCTCATTCGTAAGTGAGAATAGAAACAGTGCCTTAGGGTGTTTGTGAGGATTAAATGAGACAATATGTAAAGCACTTAGAAGAGTCCTGGCACCTAGTAAGCCTTATATAAATGTTAGGCATTATAATTATTGCTGTTTTATGAAAGCATTCTAAATGCATACACTGTGATTAATTAAAAATGTTAATGCAGTAGGTATCGCTCAAGACATAAATGATTTCAACTTCACTTTCTTCTAAGATACCAAAGTGTTAGCATTATATCAACAAAAATATGGGCATTTTAGAACTTTAAACAGTAAAGCAAACTGGGGAGAGGTCAAGCCTTGACACTGCTGCATAGGCACGGAGAAAGAGCACAGGATACTAAGTCACGCAGAGGCTTGGGACCTGGTACACAGTAGGTGCTCAATAGGAATAACAACTCTTGATCAACTGTTGGATAAAGTTCAGTCTCATCACATTTAAAAAAAATCTTTGGATTTTCTGGAGCTAATCTCCTTAATTCATTCAGCAAATATTTTCTAAGTACCTCTTGAGGGCCAGGCACTGTGCAGGGCCCTGGGAGGCAGGAGTGGACAAGCCAGGCAGGGAGAGTGGCGTGGAAGCTGGTACTAAGTGAGTGGTCACCACTGATCGGAGTGCCACTGCCTGTGAAGTCTGACTGCTGTGTGTGTCTCTCTCCTCTGCCAGGAGTGGTCAGAGCTGACTATCCAGATGTCCAAGCAAAATGGCACTCAGCCCCGAGAGGTGCTCCTGGTCTTGAGCATCAAAGAGAATGTCATCCTGCAGCTCCAGGCCCCCGGGATCCCACTCCACCTGGCCTATGTAAGTGTGTTTCCTCTAACCCGAGCTGCAACTCTGGCCACCGGAAGCCCCAGCTGTCCATCTCTGTGGGCCAGGTGGCTGTGCTTCTCTTTCATTCTGACATTATTCACCAGGGCCCTGGTTGTTGCCATGGGCCCTGACAGAACCCAAAAGGCTGCAGGGTCTGGAGTAGAGTCCAAACCTGGAGGCAGGAGGCAGATGGATGGGCAACTCCTGCCAACTCCAATCCTCTCCCAGAGCCCCAGTTCTCCCGTCTGTCCAGTGGGAGAATTGGATTCAATGGCATCCCATTAAATAATCTTGTCACTTCCTCTGAAAAAGTTACCAGACATTTGTTTGAAAATATTAAAGGACAGAGGAAAAGGAAACCTAACAAGGTGTTAACAGTGTTATAGTTGGGAAGTGGGGTTAGAAGAGACATTTATTTTATTCTTTACACTTTGTTGAATTTGCAAGATTTGCTCTAATTAACATGGCCTACATTGGAGTAATTTTTTAAAACCGCAAGTTTTTAATGTCACATGCATCCAGCAGGAAGAGGAAATCAGCTGGCTGGGACCCACAGCCAAGGGGCCGCAGGGCTGGAGGAGGCAGAGTGACCCTGGGTACCGCCTCCGCCGCATGGGAGGTCCTGGAGGTGGTCCCCAGATGTGAGCAGCTGTTGTTTACAGTCAGAGAAAGCATAGGGCCGGGGGAGGATGGTGGGGGAAGCAAATATAACTAGGGGGAGGGAGACAAAGAGAAAAAAATGGGGATGGCAGGAGGGGGGCCTGCATGTCAGAGACGGGCTGACAGATGGACCACAGAGACCCAGCCAGGGCGGGAGAGGGGCTAAGGGATCCCAGCACAGGCCCAGATCCAGGGCTGCTGAGGAGACAGGCCCGGACAGAGAGAAGCTGGGCGAGGAGGGTGGTGTTGCGGGTGAAGACTCCAGACAGGTGGCAGGGAGGGCATAGACAGACACAGCGACCCGTGTGAAAGCCCCAGGGAGGGAGGGGGCGTTAGACGCCAACCAGGAGGGCAGACCTGGCTGAACCCCGGCCTGCAATCCCAACAGTGGGACTGCCACTGAGGCCTTGCCATGGCTTCTCCTCCTTGACTCTCCCCGCTTTCTCCCCTTCCCATTCTGTTCCCGGGCCCTCCCATGGCCCACACCGGGGAACTGAGGTTGGCGGGCCCCCAGGTGACACAGAGAACATGAAACCTACCCGCCAGGCAGGAAGGTGGCAGCAGCCGGCTGGTCTGGGCCGCTTCCTCGCGAGGCTGAGAGTACCCGGGCTGTGGGCCTGTCCTGGACCCGGGCTGTGGGCCCGTCCCAGCCGCGTGGCCCAGGCCTGCTGCCTCCGGAGCGGGGACGCACCAGCTGGAGGCGCGGGCCTCCGGGCCAGACCCCCAGCTGGGCGGCTGACAAACGCCTTGCCCCTCAATCCCTGATACACCAGCAGTTTACGCTGGATGACCCTGAGGGTCAGACTGCGTAAGCCCCCGTCCTGGCTCTGAACCACTGTCCCCGCCCTTCCATCAGGCGGGCAGGCTTCCTGACCCAGGTGCGCATCGCTTTGCCCCAAGTTAAAGTCCTGCTCCCTCTGGGTGAACCATTCTATGATGCCTCGCTCACTGCCCCGCCTGGCAGTCCGCCTTAGCATCCAGCCTGAGTCCCTGATGCTGCGGCTGCTTCGGCACAATGTCCCTGGTTTTGGAGTTGGAAAACAAGGGAACTCTGAGTCCCTGGCCCCAGCAGCTTCCTCTGAATCCTCTGAGCACCTCCACCAGGAAGTCTTCCTTGTTTCCTTCCCTCAGCCCACCAGAGTCTGTCCTGAGCACGGGCAGTGGAAGCAGTGGGGTACTGGAGCCTCCCACATTCCCATCCTGTCCATCCATGGGATCCATCTTGCTCCTTCATTTCTTATTAAACAATATCTCATCTTCTGTTGTTTCAAATGACTTGATGCATGACTCACTGGATAGGAAGATCGCCAGGACAGGGACCATCCCTGTTTGTGTTTCATTCATGGATTTATTCATCCATTTCTACTTTCCTCCCCTCTACCCTTCCCCCTGCAGGGAGCACATGCTGTGTGCCAGGTGTCAGGGTGAAACTGACATGTCAGGATTCCCAGTGCTGGGCCCAGGGCCCGGCACAAAGTCAGACAAGTATTTCTCAGTGCCTACTATGTGTCTAGCACCATGCAAGGGTGGGCAAGGCAGGCGTTGTCTTCACAGAGCCCTAGCCACATGGTGTCATATAAGTGCGGGTTCAATGAGTATGACTGTGGAGGGGTGGGAAGGCAGTGTTTGGACAAGAGGATGAACATAAGTATATGTCCCCCCATGTGTGGAGGGAGATGGGGCAGATCTGGCTCTTGGGGGGGCCCCAGTTAGGGGGCTGGTGGCTGACCTTAGATTCACCAGCCTCAGCGTTGCCAGCCCTAGCCTCCTCTGCTCAGCCAACCAGCTGCCTCCCAAAATTATCTCCTGACCTCCTGCAGAGCACAGAGGGGACTCAGCCGAGGAACAACACCGTGAGTTTCCACATGTCACCCCAGACCCCGAAACTGGTCATCTTTCAAGGGCACCAGGGATTCAACACCACACAGCTGCCGCCCTTCACCAAGAGCCAGCTCCTCAAGTGGGCAGCTACAAAGGGCCCCATTGCCTCTTCCGCCGAGCTGAAGGATCCCCAAAGCATCCTCCTCCGTCTGGACCAAGGTCAGCTTCCCTGGAGCCCCTCTGGGCTTGGGACTCTGCTCTGGGGACTCTGAATTCCTCTGGCCCATTCCTCAGATGTGGACACTAAGGCTCCAGGAGGGGACGTGATTGGTTCCAGGTCACACATCACAAGTCAGTGCGCTGTTCAGACAGTAATTACTCCTTCACCAAATATGAGACTGAACCCTGTGAAATGGCTACTGTCCGTTATCTGGCCTGTAAGCACAGCACTTTCATATCATGTACTGGGCACCTACCGTGTGCCAAACCCTATTATTAGGCATTTGGGGCTTCTCTGGGGACACACCCAGACCCTGCCTTCCTGGAGCTGACACACTTCTGGAACTGAGTTTACAATAAACATGTACACGTATAAATTCTATAACTTCAGGTCATGAGAAGGGCTATAAGAAAGCTGAAAGTGGGGCAATGTGCTGGTGGGCGCAGGGCTGCATCCCTAGCACGTGCCATGGCTTCACATCTTATATATTAGCCCTGTGCTGACAGATGATGGGGTGTTGTGGGGGTGCAGCTGGGGGTTACTCAGCAGTACCTGGTGGAGGGGAGATTTGAACCCAGGTCTTCCCATACTACCCACTTCCTTGCTGCTCCTTCCTGCCCACCTTTGCTGCAGGTGAGGGTAGGCCTCTCTGTTGGGTGCCAGGCTGCTCCCGAGGGGACTTAGATGCGCTTGTCTCTGCAGCCCCGACGTCGCCGTCCTCCTGTATTCCGGAACCCACCATGGACATGGGCCACACGCTCGAATGGAGGACGCACGCTGGGGCCTCGGTCTTAGGCTGCCGCTTGGAAGGTGTGGCTGGCCACAAGGAGGCACACATCCTGAAGGTCCTGCCGGGTGCCAAGGCTGGGTAAGGGTGCCCGCCTGTCCCAGGCCCCACCCCATCCCCATTAGGCCCCGTCCTGTCCAAGTCTGAACCCCACCCCTGGCCAGGTGAGGTATGGTCGCCCCACCTCTCTCTGCCCCCACCGTGGGCCCAGGCCCCGGCCGTTTCCAAGCCCATCCCGCAGACCCACACCCTACCAGGTAAGTGTGCAGCCGCTGCCCACCGGAGCCCAGGCCTTGGCCCGGCCTCCCAGTCCCCGGCAGGTCCCGTCGAGCGCCGCATTCCCACCTGCGCTGACGCAGAGTCTGTCTCCCCTCAGGCCTCAGACGGTGACGGTAAAAGTGGAGCTGAGCTGTGCATCGGGGGACCCCGACGCCATTCTCATCCTGCAAGGTCCACCCTACGTGTCCTGGCTCATCGACGCCAACCACAACATGCAGATCTGGGTGAGCCGTGCTTCACGACCCAGGCGGCCCCTCCCAGCCCGCACCAAGGCTCCCCAAGAGAAAACGCAAACTCTGCGCTTCTCTCCCCGTCATTAGACCACTGGTGAATACTCCTTCAAGATCTTTCCCGAAAAGAACATCCGCGGCTACGCGCTCCCAGACACGCCCCAAGGCCTGCTGGGGGAGGCCCGGAGGCTCAACGCCAGCGTCATAGCGTCCTTTGTGGAGCTCCCTCTGGCCAGGGCCGTCTCCCTGCGGGCCCGCAGCTGCGGTGAGTACCTGGCTCCCTTCCCTTGCCCTCTGCTTGGGTCAGTTGCCACGGCGCAGTGAAGCACCGCCATGGCCCTCGGTGAGCTGGGCAAGTCGCATCAGCCTGTCACAGCCCCATTTCCTCATCTACAACTGGGGGACGATGAGAGTAGCTAGCTGTAGAAGCCTGGTGCCTAGTGCCCAGGGAGCGCTCTGACTGTCCCCCTACCCTGCAGGTGGTGGGCTGCAGACCTCACCTGCACCAGTCCAGACCACCCCTCCCAAGGAGAGCTGCAACCAGGAGCTGCTCATGTCCCTGATCCAGCCGAAGTGCTCTGATGACGTCATGACTCTGGTGCTCAAGAAAGATCTCATCTCGGTAGGGAACCCTGCCCCTCTGGCCCTGCTGACATGCGCAGTTGGTCCCTGCTTTAGCCCAAGAGCCTTAGGGTCCTAACGCAGGCAGGGGGACAGCCACTTTTGTCTGCAAGCCTCAGTGTTCCCACTTGTAAAACGGGGTTGGTGGTGGAAACTGCCATGTGGTGAGAGTTGAATGAGATCTGACACACGGAGCCAGATGTGGTGCTAAGTGGTCAATAAATGGATTCTAGGCAGTCATCATGATTCACCCTAAATGCAGACTGGGCTGAGTGGTTACTTAACAAAATACTTGCACGGTATGATCTCTGCCTGATTGAGGAACAAGGATATTTACTGTAAAAATAACCCAGGCTGTTAAAATGTGTGGAAATATTACAAAGGAAAATCCCAATCTCCCTGCATAAAGACAATGGTTTCTAGCATTTTGGTGTATTTCCTTCTGGAATGTTTTCTCTGTGTATTTCTTATACGGCGTAATCATGTCTGGCATCTGATATGAAGGAGACTCTCCCACTCTAGTCACTTCATGTATTTTTAGAATTTTGATATATGTACTTAATATCATTGAATAAGCACGTATTACTCCATCATTGATATGCTGTAATTAATCCCTCCTCCCTTGTTAGAGATTTAGGCTGTTTCCAATTCCGTAATATTACAAATATGCAGAAAATGTCATTTTGCATTCCTGATTAGAGTCATTTTCTTACAGTGGATTTCCACATTAGTGAGATTGCTAGGTCAAAATGAGTGAACATTCTGGAAGTTTTGACACACGTTGCTGCCCACTTTCCAAAAGTTTATTCCAATTTTCACTGCTGATTTATGAGAGCACTTCAACTCTTTCTCTTTCCAGACCATTATTTTTGTTTAAAAAAACCTTTGCCGGTGTGAGAGGTAGAATATGGTGTTACCTTCTTGTTTTAATTTATACTTTGATTAATAGTGAGTGTGGGCATGGTTCCATGTGACCTAAGGTCCTTATTATTGTGGCTTGCTATTTTTCTTGATGTTTAATAAGCTTTCTACATTAAAAAAATTGGGGTCCCTTTGTCCATCATCCTTATTGAAATAATTTTTCCTGGTTCGTTATAGCTCTTTAAATTTTGGCTACAGTGATTTTTTAACTTATTGGACATTTGTAAACATCAGGCCGACCTAGCTGCCCATCTTTCCTTTTGCGATTTCCTCTGGCCTTCCTGAGACAGGCCAGCTTTCTGTCAGAGCCTCAACAAATCATCCCCTTTCTCAGGGACTCTTAGAATGACATTTAATCCTGTGGGTTAGGTCCATGCGGAAGTATTTTGGGGTGGAGGTTATAGGGGCCTATATGAAGCTCCATCTGTCTGCTGCCCATCTCCCCCTTGTCCCCTACCTCCACCTGGCCCAACAGGTGTCACAAGGTGACCAGCAACGGCTGGCATTACCCCCACACAGTCCCAAGGGGCCTGTATATCTGGTAATCCATCAATGTTTGAAACATTACACTACAATTAAAGAGAATATGCTGGGTCTATAAATATAGATGCAGAAATATATATATATATGATTATTGTTGGGTGAGAAAACTAAGCTACTGCATGAAGGACAGTATGATGCCGTTTGTTAAAAGTACCAAAACAAACAAATCTGCACAATTGCTCTGAGTACATGTGTCTGTATAGAATAGAAAAGAGTCTAAACAGATTCATTCCAAACATGGAACACACTGCTCTCTCATTAACGTATGAAATGTGGTCAGTGTGTGGAGTTTGAATTCCAGGGCCATGTGTCATTTTTCTTTGGTGGGCTGATGTTCCCTCAGGTGGCCCCGGGAACCAGCATCCTGGAGGAGTGGGTGTGAATATGCTGGACCCAAAGTGGGGCCTCCAACAGCCACTCAACTCTAAGACTGCCATTTTTTAAAATTGAAGTATCATTGATGTGCAATCGTATGTTGATGTTTCAAATGTACAACACACTGGTTCAATGATTAATCCCATCTAGTGTGGTTATTATCTATCAACACAGAAGGATGTTACAGAATCATTGACTATATTAGCCATGATGTACACCTATCCCTGTGACCAACTTTTTGCTTTGTTTTTATTTTTCCACAAATAAGTGAAATCATATGATAGTTGTCTTTCTCTACCTGGCTTATTTCACTGAGCATAATACCCTCTAGATCTATCCATGTTATTACAAATGGGAGGATTTCTTTTCTTTTTATGGCTGAATAATATTCTATTGTGTATACGTGACACATCTTCTTTATCCATTCATCTAGTGATGGACACTTAGGTTGTTTCTGTATCTTGGCTATTGTAAATAATGCGGCAATAAACATAGGGGTACATATATCTTTATGAATCAGGGATTTTGTTCAAGACTGACATTCTTTAATCTTAAAAATATGACTGAGAAATTCTAAGATTTGATTCCTCTAACGCAGGATATGGCAAACTATGGCCTACTCCCGTTTTTATAAATAAAGTTTTATTGGCATGCAGCCACACCCATTCATTGGTGTATTGTCTGTGGCTGCTTTCAGGCTCTGATGGCAAAGCTGGGTAATTACAACAGAGACCACATGGCCCACAAAGCCTAACATCTGTCACGCCCTTTATAGGAAAAATTTGCTGACCGCAGGTCTAAGTCTACAGTTCTGAGATTGGACTGTATAGGTGGGGTCTGTATGCCCCTGGGGCTGTACATGGTGATTATATGAATGTTTTTAATTTTAATAGTTCTACATTTATTTTAATACATATATTTGAAGAAAAACAGTAAGCAGTTTCAAACTCATGATGCCACAGATATTTTTGCTTAGGACAAGGCTAAGTACAACAATGAGTCAAGTTCAGGAAAAGTATTAAGTCTTAAATGATTGTAGGATGACAAGATCTAATAAAAATAGAGAGGGGAGCAGAGGAATGGCTGTGATTTGGGACCCCTGGGTTATAGTCAGTCCTTGGTGCTGGGTGGGACAGACAGGCCCCAGGGAGCCCAGTGCCTTCTGACGGTCCCCCCATCCTCACAGACTCTGAGGTGCACCATCACAAGCCTTAAGTTCTGGGACCCCAGCTGCCAGGCTGAGGACAGAGATGACCAGTTTGTCTTGCACAGTGCCTACTCCGACTGTGGCATGGAAGTAACGGAAAATGTGGTCAGTAATGAGGTAAGAGAGCCAGGGTAGGCGGGCAGGGTATCAGGGCCAGCTTAGATGGTGCCCCCTCCGGGTACCTCCTTGATCTTCCAGGCTGAGGGGCGTTTGGGAGAGTAGGATATGGTGCTTAGTGGAGAGTCTGATAAGCTTAGCCAGTGGTTGGCTCAGTCTCCCCATCCATAAAATGGGTACGTTGAGTAGGATACCCTCTGGGGTCCTTTCTGGCTCTGACCAGCTCCTGGCTTTCTTCCTGCAGGTGATCGTCAACCTCCTGTCAAGCCCATCACCACAGAGGGTGAGATGGATGTTCACTGTGCTAACCCATCTGGTCCAGGGTCTGGGAGCCCTTCCTGGCCTGGGAGGGAGCAGGCCTCAGGAAACTCAGGCCCTAACTCTGGCAAGCCATGTGTCTCTGGTGTGCCTCAGTCTCCCCTTCTGTACAATGGGGGCAGTACTGTTTAGGGTTACATTCTCAACTTCTCAAATCAGAGGGTTCTAGCACATAGTGGCTGTGTGGCCTTGGCCAAATTGCTTAAGCTTTTTGTAAGCAGTGGCCAAAGAAAGGATCCCCTCCATGGGGCTGCTTATGAGCAGTCACGGAGATGACACGTGGAGAGCACTTCACACAGGCCTGAAGTAGAGTGAGTTCTTGACAAATAGTTTTTGTTGTTTTTTTAAAAGGTGAGGATGGGGGTCAGGCCAACAACTCAGGACCCTGACTCCAGCTCCATCCCCGCCCCTTGCCTTCTCACTGAGTGCCTCCCCCGCTGACCGAGTCCCCTCCCATCCACAGAAAAAGGTGTACTGCGTCAACACAGAAAGCCTCTCCTTCCAGCTGGGCCTCTACCTCAGCCCACACTTCCTCCAGGCCTCCAACACCATCGAGCTGGGGCAACAGGCCTTTGTGCAGGTACTGGACTGGGACCTCTCAGGCCTGCCCACGCCCGGGGTTTCCCAGGGCCTTTCTCTTCACCGTTAATACAGAGATGAGCGTTTAACTTCCCAGAGGGAGGAGGCAGCCAGCGACCTGGGTTGGAATGTCACCTGCTCCTTCTCATCTGCTCCAGGCAGGCCCGTGACTGTCCTGCCATCAGCGTTCGGGGACAGGCCCTCTAGAACGAATCTAGCTTATTTCGCAGGGGCAGGCAGGGTGGAGGGTTAAGAGTAACTGACCACGCCTCTTCCGCCTTACCTACCCATGCAGGTGAGCGTGTCCCCATCGATCCCTGAGTTCATGCTCCAGCTGGACAGCTGTCAACTGGATTTGGGGCCTGAGGCAAACACTGTGGAACTCATCCAGAGCCAGGCAGCCAAGGACAGCTGTGTGAACCTGCTGTCCCCCAGTCCTGGCGGTGATGCACGCTTCAGCTTCCTGCTCCGAGGCTACATGGTGTCCACACCCACAACTGGCACCCTCAGCTGCAACATAGCCCTGCGTCCCAGGACCTGGGCCCTGGTAAGTGAGGCCTGAGCCCAGCACAGCTTCAAGGGTGGCTTCCAGGTCCAGGGTTTCCAGGACTGGATGTGAGAGCCCAGGATATGGGACCAGCTGGCAAGGGGCAGTGCCACCATCAGACATGTGGTTTCTGGCTACCAGGGGCAGGCTTTTGGCCATTCTACATACAGCTTTCTGATGGCTTTTCTATGTCTCAGACATTGGTAAGATACACAGCTGCAACCATGTGTCCATCTGTCCATCCATCCCCTCTACCCACCCACCATCCCACCCGTCATCTCTCCATCTTCCCACTCTCCCATCCAGGCATTCATTCATCAGTTGATACTTCACCCTGTCCCACCCAGTCATCCATCGATCCAGCCACCCTCCCATCCATCCATGCAGTATAGTGAACAACGTAACCTCAAGAAGCAGGACCTCAGGGAAGAGGGTTAAGACAAAGGACACGACATACTGATTTTCTACATTTAGTGGTCACAGTGCTTCACCACCTGGTGGACCCCTGGACACACTCACAGTCATCCCCAGGCCCTTGCACACAGAAGGTCTCTGGGATTAAAGCTTCTGGTTCTGTGAAGCTACAAAAGCCTCTGGGCCACTCCTATGTGAGCCTCTCCTCACCAGCCACTGATCCTGGGCCTCTGGGCTGACCTGGTTCATCTCTCCCAGGCATTAACAAGGGTAACAGATGTGGCACAAAGAGCCCCCATGGTCTTCATGGAATTTGGGGGCCTCCCAGGAACACACAGGAAATGTTCCCATAGCAACCAAGGATCGTCCACCTGACACCCTCCCTTAGCACAGACCTCCCAGGACTTGCCCAAAGGCTCCCAGCTACAAAATGGTGGGATGGGATTCCCATCTAGAAAGAAGCAGGGATTCAAAGCCATGGCCGCAGGGTGTGTTGTGACAGGCCAGGTTCCAGAGCCAGGGAATAAGCCTGGAAGCTGCTTCTTGAAGGCTGTGCCACATACCACTCTCTTCTTCCTCCAGGAAGTCCACAGGACTGTCTCTATGCACCTGACCATCGTTAGCCCTGGCCTGCCTGGTGAGCTCTCTCTAGGTCTCTCTGGGGTTCTAGTGGCTGAGGTCAGAGTGGGCATGACAAATGGGGCCCAGCAGGGAGGAACCCAGAGAGAGCAGCCCTGGGAGGAGGGGCAGATGGGCTGCCTGGCAGCCCGGAGGAAGACCTTCAGCTGCATCTTCTAGATGGAAAGGCATTGCTCACAACCACCCCATGCAACCAGAGTCCAGGGTTTTGGTCAGTCCCCATGGCTGCCAGCTCACCTTGCTGGGGGGTATGGGGCCTCCCAGAGTCAGGACTTGATGAGACAGAAGGCACCTTGGGATGGTGCTGGCCTCACTTTCCTTAAGGCCCCCGTGTGGAGGATGTCCTTTAAGCCTAGCACCCTCCAGTCCTTTGTTAGCTCTCCCTGGGCCCAGGCCCTAACAGGACAGAAGAGACACTGCACTGGGGCAAAGGTCAGGGGCACCTGCCTCCTTGCCACCCCACCCCCAGCTCACAGCCAAGAGAACAGGGCTCATTACCACATTGCATGGATGGGAACTCAAAGGCCCAAGTGCCGGGCCCAGTCACATAGGAGTCAGGCATGTGGAAGGCATGAGGCTTGGGAAAGGCCAGGAGCAGAGTTGAAGAGCCCGCAGAGATGCTCTGGCCCTTCCCTACCATAGTACAGGGCTCAGAGAGGGGCAAGGACTAACCTCAGGTCACACAGTGGGGCAGGACAGGCTCTGGACTCCGAGGCCCATTCACTCTGCTCAGATTATGCCATCCCTCCTCCCTAGTAATGCATGTCAGCCTTGGGAGGCAGAGGCATGGCCCAAAAGGGCTGGCTGGGCCCTCTGGGTAGGTGGTCATAGCAACCACAGTTCAGTGCCAGGCATGGGTGTGATGAACCCATTTACTGGATGAGGAGACTGAGGTTCAGCGAAGTCAGGGGCAGGGTCGGGGCTGGCCCCAGCACAACAGGGTGGGGGTCCAGTGGGGAGGCCGCAGCGCTGACCGCAGCCATCCTTCCCGTCGCACAGACAAAGGCCTCGTCCTGCCCGCTGTGCTGGGCATCACCTTTGGCGCCTTCCTCATTGGGGCCCTGCTCACCGCCGCACTCTGGTACATCTACTCGCACACGCGTGAGTATCCCAGGCCCCCACAATGAGCGCTGAGGATCCCTCCGCCACCACCTGGGGGAGCCTGGTGGAGCTCCTGGGGGAGTGGGGAGCCCTGGCCGGGGCCCTGACCTCCGCCCCTGCCCCCAGGTCCCGCCGGCAAGCGGGAGCCCGTGGTGGCAGTGGCTGCCCCGGCCTCCTCAGAGAGCAGTAGTACCAACCACAGCATCGGGAGCACCCAGAGCACCCCCTGCTCCACCAGCAGCATGGCGTAGCGCCCCCGAGCCCTGGCCCAGCAGGAAAGACTGAGCAGCCAGCAGCTGGGAACCACTGGCCACACACTTACCCTGGGACCGTAAACCCTCCCCTCGGCCGATGGACCACTTCCTCGGCACCCACCCCACCCGTCCTCTCAGAGGCCTGCTGCCAGCGGGAGCTCCAGCCTGGAACGCCTTGGAGTCCCCCCACCCCACCCCACAGAATCTTCAAACACAGTGGGCCCGGGGTATGGCTGCCCAGGACCACGGAGAGAGAGACCGCTGCCTTATGTGTCCACATTGTTGTAGAAACCAAGTGCTTGTAATTTTGACCTGGATCGAGCACCCAATGACCGAGGCTGGGCCGGGAGAACTCCTAACAGACTGAGCCAGCCCACCTAGGCCAACAGTGTCTCCTCTGCAGAATGGAAGGCAGCCATCCCAGAGCCACCTGGACCTGCCCCCAGCAGCCTCCACACCAGGACTGGCACAACTTTGGCTGGGGAAACAGAAGCCTGGGGGTGGGGGAGCCTAGCTCCTCCATGCAACTGCCACAGGGGCAGGCAGCAGAAGGGCATGGCCAGATTGCCTGGCCTGGGCCCACCCCTATATACTCATCACCAATAAATCAGACCACCAAACCAGCACTGGGCTGGGCTGGGCGATGGGGAGGTCAGATGGGTGGGGTAGGGTGTGTGAAGCTCTGGGTTCAAATCCCTGACCTGCCAGGTATTGGCTGTGTGACCACAGCAGGCCACATGGCTTCTTTAAGCCAGCCACAGTTCCCTCATCTGTAAAATGGGTATGAGAATTCTCAATCACAAGGGCTCTTTGAGGAGGTATGCAAAACAGTGCCTGGTGTAGGGTCAGCAGACATCCGTCTAGTCTTCTCATTTTACAGACAGGCCACCTGAGGCTCCGGGGGGAGGGAGGGACTTGTTCCAGGCCATATAGCCCAGGCTCCTGCTCAATCCAGTTTCTGTACCAGCAGCAACCGTCATCCCCCTATGGTCTGTTGAGGGAGCGAGAGGTCAAGAGTCAATCAAATGCTTTGTCATTTCTCTTTTTAAAAAGTTAAAGGCTTTAATTCGCCCCAGCCTCCCTGTCCCCAAGGGGCCTCAGACAAAGGCCATCTCTTTCCCAGAAGGCCAGTGGGAGGAGGGGACCTATCTACCAAGATCCAGCAGGACCCTAGGCCTGCCAGGCAGCTCACACAGTAAGCTCACAAAGTAAGGCAGTGTGGGAGGAGAGACAGGCTGGAACTCAGGCCCATTATACAATAGTGGGAGAACTGGGAAGCCCCCTGGCTGTATCAGCTGGGAGGAAGGAGAGGCCAAAGGCACCCTAGGCTCAGAGACTGAGCTTGTCCAATCTCAGCCTCCCACCCCTAGCCCTCTATTTCAATGCCCAGAGCCCGGGTCTCTAGGCCAGTCTTGACAGAATCAGGAAAGCCAAAAACAAAAGGCACCAAATAGAGCAGTTCTTAGAAAGACACTGTAGGGCGGGGGTGGGTGGTCCCCACCTCCAACCCCACTGCCTTGGTTACTGGGACAGGGAGGGCTCCAGCAGCTTCAGGACACCGCCCACCAGGTGCAGGCTGCCTGTGACCAGCACGTGGATGGCAGCAGCCTCGCGGAGCACACTGGCCCCACTGCCCCCACTGCCAGCCACGGGGTGGGCGAGGACGTCCTGTGGGGGACCAGGTGACTGAAAGACAGGGTCCCGGCCTTGGCTGATCCACTGCAAGGCGTGGGAGATGCAGCTGAAGACAAGGGAGCTGGGGCTGTAGGTGTGCAGTGGACGGGGTGCCAGCAGCAGGGAGGCGGGGTCACCAGGCTCTCCGTTGGGGGTGTTCCAGAGGTTCGGGCTGGCCTGCTCCTCATCCAGGAGGCTCCAGTGTTGATGGTGTTCAAGGCAGCGGAGTAGCACCTGGTCCAGTGTCACTGTGAAGTTCTGCTGGTCTACAGGGCACAGGAGCAGGCACATCAACAAGGGGGGATGAGTGTTGGGGGGCTGGGGAGAGGCAGACATGCTCTGAACACCTGCTTAATGCCAGACCCCTTATGGGCATCATCAGTCCTCAAAGAGGACACTACGAGGAAACTGAGGCTCAGAAAGGTTCAGTGACTTGCCTACTGTCACAAGTGGTGAGAAATGGAGCCAGGAGTTTAGCTTCATCGACAGTCGGGCTTTTGCCCACTGAGCACATCTCCCCACCCAGCCTCATTGCCTTCACCTGTAAAATCGACAGGGTCTGTCACCACACGGGCACGGTATCTCTAGAAATGCAATTTCCTGGACTCTCCCCAATCTGACGTGGGGCCTGGGGATCTGTTTTTTTTAACACTATTTCAAAGTGTTCTGAATATGACCCACAGTAAAAAATACTACAATGGTAAAATGTGTGTAAAAATGCCTAGAACAGAATCTTCATAAAAATACCTACCCTTACTTTGTGCATGGCACACAGGTATTTTCTATTCTATTTCATTTAAAATTAAAAATGCTGGTTGAGACCCACTAAGTTGATTTCAAGAACCATTAATGGGTTGAAACCTGCATTCTGAAAAATGTTTTCCCTAACAATTCTTTTTAGTATTGCAATCAAATGCAAAATTCAAAATGTACCAAAGACCAAAGGGTATGTTTTACACAGTAACACAACTGAACTCCTAACCCAGACTCCCAGTTCAGAAGACCCCCCCTGTCACTAACAGAGCAGTCCACCCCAGGGGGCCCTCCGCCCCCAGGGACCATGCCCATCACTGCTCACCTGCATTGCTGACTGATGACAGCTCTGTTAGGTTTGGGCAGAAGACGGCGTAGTCAAACTGACAGGGCTAGAAGGCCACAGGGAACAGCTTGGTGTCAGAGCCCTGAGAGGAAGACCCCCTACCCTGGCTTCCACACAGCACCCCCTGGGCCCACCTATACACTCCCATCTCTGGAGATGCCCCCACGGCACCACAGACCCAGCCACAGCACTTCAAGCCCCCAGCTACCTCAATATAACCTGCCTGGCCTGCGGCTAGGGCAGTATAGCCCACCATACAGATGGGGAAACAGAGACTTGGGGTTGGGGCACTTGCTTAAGGTCATCCAGCCACTTAGCTGGCCCCAAATTCAGGCTGGAGAGAAGGCTCCGTCTGCACAAAGGAGAGAGGTTCTGGAGATGAAGAACTAGGAATGATCCCCAGGAGCCACTCCGGCTTGGTCAGCAATTTCCCTGAGTGGAGATGGGCCCCTACATGCTTTATAGCCCAAGACTCCTTCAACCAAACTTAAGAAGCAGGTATGCTTAGGAGTGCCCCGTTTCATGGAGAGGCAAACTGTGGCTCCGTGAAATGCCACCTTGTGTTCAGGGTCATGTGGTGGCTGAGGAGGCATGACAGATGAGCCCAGAGCCCGGACCTTATACCACTACCTGGTCTCCCCCCGCTGGCTTGAGTCTGATCACGGTAGGTGCGGGCAGTGACCTGTGACTAGACTTTCCCATGTGCCCGATGCTTTCACACCGAATCCTCAGCACAGTTCAGAGGACCCGGGAATCAGCCCCATTCTGCAGTTGAGGAAACAGGCTCAGGGATGAAGGCACCGCTGGGGGTCACACAGCCAGAACCATGGCTGAGCCGCCACACAACTTTGGCTGGGGAAACAGAAGCCTGGGGGTGGGGGAGCCTAGCTCCTCCATGCAACTGCCACAGGGGCAGGCAGCAGAAGGGCATGGCCAGATTGCCTGGCCTGGGCCCACCCCTATATACTCATCACCAATAAATCAGACCACCAAACCAGCACTGGGCTGGGCTGGGCGATGGGGAGGTCAGATGGGTGGGGTAGGGTGTGTGAAGCTCTGGGTTCAAATCCCTGACCTGCCAGGTATTGGCTGTGTGACCACAGCAGGCCACATGGCTTCTTTAAGCCAGCCACAGTTCCCTCATCTGTAAAATGGGTATGAGAATTCTCAATCACAAGGGCTCTTTGAGGAGGTATGCAAAACAGTGCCTGGTGTAGGGTCAGCAGACATCCGTCTAGTCTTCTCATTTTACAGACAGGCCACCTGAGGCTCCGGGGGGAGGGAGGGACTTGTTCCAGGCCATATAGCCCAGGCTCCTGCTCAATCCAGTTTCTGTACCAGCAGCAACCATCATCCCCCTATGGTCTGTTGAGGGAGCGAGAGGTCAAGAGTCAATCAAATGCTTTGTCATTTCTCTTTTTAAAAAGTTAAAGGCTTTAATTCGCCCCAGCCTCCCTGTCCCCAAGGGGCCTCAGACAAAGGCCATCTCTTTCCCAGAAGGCCAGTGGGAGGAGGGGACCTATCTACCAAGATCCAGCAGGACCCTAGGCCTGCCAGGCAGCTCACACAGTAAGCTCACAAAGTAAGGCAGTGTGGGAGGAGAGACAGGCTGGAACTCAGGCCCATTATACAATAGTGGGAGAACTGGGAAGCCCCCTGGCTGTATCAGCTGGGAGGAAGGAGAGGCCAAAGGCACCCTAGGCTCAGAGACTGAGCTTGTCCAATCTCAGCCTCCCACCCCTAGCCCTCTATTTCAATGCCCAGAGCCCGGGTCTCTAGGCCAGTCTTGACAGAATCAGGAAAGCCAAAAACAAAAGGCACCAAATAGAGCAGTTCTTAGAAAGACACTGTAGGGCGGGGGTGGGTGGTCCCCACCTCCAACCCCACTGCCTTGGTTACTGGGACAGGGAGGGCTCCAGCAGCTTCAGGACACCGCCCACCAGGTGCAGGCTGCCTGTGACCAGCACGTGGATGGCAGCAGCCTCGCGGAGCACACTGGCCCCACTGCCCCCACTGCCAGCCACGGGGTGGGCGAGGACGTCCTGTGGGGGACCAGGTGACTGAAAGACAGGGTCCCGGCCTTGGCTGATCCACTGCAAGGCGTGGGAGATGCAGCTGAAGACAAGGGAGCTGGGGCTGTAGGTGTGCAGTGGACGGGGTGCCAGCAGCAGGGAGGCGGGGTCACCAGGCTCTCCGTTGGGGGTGTTCCAGAGGTTCGGGCTGGCCTGCTCCTCATCCAGGAGGCTCCAGTGTTGATGGTGTTCAAGGCAGCGGAGTAGCACCTGGTCCAGTGTCACTGTGAAGTTCTGCTGGTCTATAGGGCACAGGAGCAGGCACATCAACAAGGGGGGATGAGTGTTGGGGGGCTGGGGAGAGGCAGACATGCTCTGAACACCTGCTTAATGCCAGACCCTTTATGGGCATCATCAGTCCTCAAAGAGGACACTACGAGGAAACTGAGGCTCAGAAAGGTTCAGTGACTTGCCTACTGTCACAAGTGGTGAGAAATGGAGCCAGGAGTTTAGCTTCATCGACAGTCGGGCTTTTGCCCACTGAGCACATCTCCCCACCCAGCCTCATTGCCTTCACCTGTAAAATCGACAGGGTCTGTCACCACATGGGCACGGTATCTCTAGAAATGCAATTTCCTGGACTCTCCCCAATCTGACGTGGGGCCTGGGGATCTGTTTTTTTTAACACTATTTCAAAGTGTTCTGAATATGACCCACAGTAAAAAATACTACAATGGTAAAATGTGTGTAAAAATGCCTAGAACAGAATCTTCATAAAAATACCTACCCTTACTTTGTGCATGGCACACAGGTATTTTCTATTCTATTTCATTTAAAATTAAAAATGCTGGTTGAGACCCACTAAGTTGATTTCAAGAACCATTAATGGGTTGAAACCTGCATTCTGAAAAATGTTTTCCCTAACAATTCTTTTTAGTATTGCAATCAAATGCAAAATTCAAAATGTACCAAAGACCAAAGGGTATGTTTTACACAGTAACACAACTGAACTCCTAACCCAGACTCCCAGTTCAGAAGACCCCCCCTGTCACTAACAGAGCAGTCCACCCCAGGGGGCCCTCCGCCCCCAGGGACCATGCCCATCACTGCTCACCTGCATTGCTGACTGATGACAGCTCTGTTAGGTTTGGGCAGAAGACGGCGTAGTCAAACTGACAGGGCTAGAAGGCCACAGGGAACAGCTTGGTGTCAGAGCCCTGAGAGGAAGACCCCCTACCCTGGCTTCCACACAGCACCCCCTGGGCCCACCTATACACTCCCATCTCTGGAGATGCCCCCACGGCACCACAGACCCAGCCACAGCACTTCAAGCCCCCAGCTACCTCAATATAACCTGCCTGGCCTGCAGCTAGGGCAGTATAGCCCACCGTACAGATGGGGAAACAGAGACTTGGGGTTGGGGCACTTGCTTAAGGTCATCCAGCCACTTAGCTGGCCCCAAATTCAGGCTGGAGAGAAGGCTCCGTCTGCACAAAGGAGAGAGGTTCTGGAGATGAAGAACTAGGAATGATCCCCAGGAGCCACTCCGGCTTGGTCAGCAATTTCCCTGAGTGGAGATGGGCCCCTACATGCTTTATAGCCCAAGACTCCTTAAACCAAACTTAAGAAGCAGGTACGCTTAGGAGTGCCCCGTTTCATGGAGAGGCAAACTGTGGCTCCGTGAAATGCCACCTTGTGTTCAGGGTCATGTGGTGGCTGAGGAGGCATGACAGATGAGCCCAGAGCCCGGACCTTATACCACTACCTGGTCTCCCCCCGCTGGCTTGAGTCTGATCACGGTAGGTGCGGGCAGTGACCTGTGACTAGACTTTCCCATGTGCCCGATGCTTTCACACCGAATCCTCAGCACAGTTCAGAGGACCCGGGAATCAGCCCCATTCTGCAGTTGAGGAAACAGGCTCAGGGATGAAGGCACCGCTGGGGGTCACACAGCCAGAACCATGGCTGAGCCGCCTGCAGCCCCGCCCCGCCCACCTGCAGCAGCTTCAGCAGGGCCGCGGGATCCCGGTCCCCGGTGGAGTTGAAGAGCAAGACACGCACCTCAGGCAGGCTGAGGGCAGAGGAGGGAGGTCAGATCTGGGTCTCACCCGTTCTCCACGTGTTCCGCCCCACCCTTCCCAGAGACTTCCCCTCCTCCCCTCTGGCCCAGTGCTGCCCACCCCTCCTTGGGGCCCTGCCCCTCCCCGCGGGCCAGCCCAGCCCACTTTACCCCAGGTCCGATTTCCCCCAGCCTCGCCCCTGCCCCTGCTGGGAGCTCACCCGCCCCGCCTCTCCCGACGGAGAGCCTGGCGGAACCAACGCACGCAGGCCTGCACGCTGCTGGCGGTGTGCGCGCCGTCCAGGTACCAGGTGAGGGGTCCGCGTCGCAGCACCTGCGTCCGGCCCAGCCACTCTGTGTTCCGAAGCCCTGGGGGAATGGGCAGCTGTCCAGTGGCCACCGCCAAATAGCCCTCCCACATCCTCGCCCACCCTGTCCTCAACTCGCAAGGACAACCGGTCCCCCGCGCCCCCGCTGCTGGACGGCTGACCCTCTGCGCGCACTGGGGAGCTGATCAGCAAAGGAGCCCCTACAGCAGTCACTGGGCTCCGTTCTTAAGCTGCCTCATCTGGTGGAATCTTCCTCGCAGCCTCAACAGCGGGCTGCTCTCATATGTAAGTTCCATGTTACAAGGGAGCCCTGAGCTCCTAGAGATTAGGTGACAAAGCAGGTGAGTCCTGGGGCTAGGATGTGAGCAGATCTACCTGGCTCCAGGACTGTGTCATGGCACTGACACAGGGCCTGGCCCACACTGGGCACATTTGCTAAAGGGCTTTGACAGCTGTGAGCACCTACTGTGTGCTGAAAGCTTTGGGGGAAGCAAGAAGCTAGACCATATCGCCATTTTCCAGAACCTAATGGTCTTATGATAATGATGCTAAGATGACAGTAACAGTAGCTGCCACTGGCTGGGCACTTTATTCCAAACCCACCAGGCTCTGGGCTCAGTCCCTTAGTGATGCCACCTCACAGCAGGTTTTATCATCTCATTTGGCAGGTAGGGAAACTGATGCTCAGAGAAGAGTTCATGAAGCTCACTGGCTTCAGAGTCCTTTCTCTTGGGCACCATCTCGAATTGCCTCCACCTCTCAAACAGGAAACTGGAAGAAACATCTGAAGGGGCCTGGCTGGGTGGGAAGGTCCAACTCACCGTGCTGCATGTGGGACGTGAGCTGGAACACAGGTGCCAGGGGAAGCTGCCACAGGAGGCTTGGCCTGGATGCCTTCAGCTCCCCAATGCCTGGGTGAGTAGGGACAGGAGGGAGGGCGGTGTGGGACTCGGTGTGCTCAGGATCCTCACAGGCAGGTTCCGTATGTCCCCTGCCCCTCACCTGCCCACTTACCCTGGTGAGTCTTTTGCTGCAGCCAGCAGCGGGCCAGCTGTGAGGCCAAGGCGGCGTTAGACCTCTGGTGTTCTCCCTCCAGGCCCAGGATCAGTGGTGGCCCCCCTTCCTCCAGGGCTTCCAGTGGTGGGCACAGGTAGAGAGGACACTGCAGGGGACGTGGGCAGCAGCTGCTCAGTGGAGGTGCTACCACCACCTTGGCCTGGAGGCTGTCTGTCCCAGGAGACTGTCAGCCCTACCATTTTCCCCACCAACCAGAACCCACCATGCCCTGCTCCTAGAACCAAGATGTGCTCCAGCTGGTGGAGCAGCTGACCCTCACTGCACAGGTTAGCAAATTGAAGCCCGAAAGGATAAAGTGCCTCCGCAGTCAGCTGTCCCCCCACCCAGCACCTCCAATCAGACTCACTGAGATCTGCTGGGCACGGTCCCGCAGCACTGCCAGGGAACCATCAGGCTGGACCACGGTGAAGGCGGGGACACCAGGCTGCAGGGGGAAGGGAGACGGGTTGCTGAGGGTCCTCCACCTCCCGTCTTTGGCACCCACACCCTGGGTCTGGGCAGCCCAGACTTCCCCCATAGGACCTAGGGAAGCCCTCGATGGGGAGAGGCCAAGGACAGAGAGGGGGCTTAACGTACTGCAGTCAGACACAGAGCTGAGACAAGAACCTAAATGCCACTGAGGCCCGAGAACTTATCCCCAGTCAGAATACAAAGGACCCCGCCCTAGCCCACTTCCCTGAGCCTTGAGGGCCAGGCCATCGTAGGACCTTCTTCCCTCCCTGGGAATGCCTGGTCACCTTGAAAATGCCCCCTTTCTGCCATGCGATCTTCTCCACTGTGTCCCCCAGAAGGCTTGTGTGGTCGATGCCAAGAGAGGAGACCCCACACACCACAGGCTTCCTGTGTTAGACAAAAGGCCGTGACAGCCCCACCCTGGAGGCTGGGCTCCTGGCCACTGTCCTCTCCTGCCAGTGCCCTCACCTTATGATATTGGTGCAGTCGTAAGCTCCACCAATGCCCACTTCCATCACTGCCAGGTCCACCTGCAGAGGACCAGAGGGCATGTCAGCGGGCTCAGGGGCACCCAGGTGCCACATGGCAGCCCCCAGCCTTCTGAGATGCCCCTAACCAAGGCCTCAGGCACAGGGTTCTGGGGAGTGGGCACTCACCTTCTCCTGGAGGAAGACGTGGAAGGCCATGAGCGTGAGGAAGCGGAAATAGGCAGGCATGGAGACACAGCTGCTGCCATCCTGTGGACAGGAACGTGTCAGGGCCCAGGGCCCCTACAGCCTCTGCTCTGGGGAGATGGGATCCTGGGGTGCACAGCACCCTCTGGGTCTAACCACCCACCTCAGTGCCCCCTATCGTGCCCACCCACCAGCTCTCCTGCATGGGCACCTTGGTCTCCTCCAGCCGGTGGTAGAGACGCCAGAAGTGCTTGGTGAAGAGCTCGGGGCTTATGGGTTGCCCGTTGATGCGGATCCGCTCACGCACCTGCACCAGGTGGGGAGAGCTGCCAGGAGACCCGGCGTCATCGGGACTCTCTCCTCTGCCCACCCCCTGGCCTTCTCCTGACCTGCAGTCAGACCTGTCTTACAGAAACACAAATCTGACCATGTCACTGCCCTGCTGAAAACCCTTCTGTGGCCCAGCTCCTCATCCTGGCCTTCCAGGCCCTGACAGGGCTGATGCCACTGGCCTCTGTACCTCACCTCTCCTGTGTCCCTGGTTAGTCCCCTGTGCCCCAAGCCCTCTGGACAACTTTAGTTCCTCTGGCCCCTCCCCACCCCGTTCCTATCTCCAGGCCTTTGCACCTGCCCATCCCCCTCTCTTTACCTCACTCCCCAGGTCTCAGCTGAGATGTCCCCTCCTCTGGGAAGGAGGAGAAAGGACCCCTCCCAGCCAGGCTGGTCAGACATGTTCTCTGGGCTCCAACAGCTCCCCCACCCGCGCTTTACCCATCGCACAGCCATCAGTCGCTCTGCCAACATCTACCCCCATAATGTCTGTCCTCCAGCCCTCAAGGGCAAGGCCCCATCTGCCATATCCACAAAGTCACCTAGGCCCAAATCAAAGGTGGTTTTACCCAAAATATTATTTTAGAAGAGAGAGTGTCAGATTATATATGAATCCTTAAAGGCCCTCTCATATTAAGTACTTTTCTCCATTTCTTTATTTTGAACACAACTGTTTAGGGAAAACTTGTTGGCCTACAATGACCTCAGGCAGCTGGTTTCAGCTTACAGAGGTCACTTGATGAAACTGGTAAGAGAAAAGCAGACAAAATCTTAAGTGACCCGATCCCAAGGAGCAAATTCTGAGCAATTATTATCACAGAATCCCACTCTTTACCAGTGACCAGCTAAGGAGAGGCACGTACAGCGCAGGGAGGAGGGACCCATGTCTATCCACCACCCCATCCTCAGGTGTGAGGGTGGATGCCTGAGTGCAACCAAGAGGGGACAGTACCTGCAGAGCAAAGCCACAGCTGAGGCCGGCAGAGCTGAAGGCCTCAACATGGACCTCCTAAATTACCCCGACCCTTTAAGGCCTAATAAGGCAGGTTTTCTGCTCCTTACTGCAAAGGCATCTTGTATATTGAATTTAAGTTAATAAAGAGACATTTGACTACTTCAGCTATCTATTTAGTTTACATTCAAGCTGCTATCCCCTCCCAAACTGTTTTTTATTATGAAAATTAAAGCATGCTGGAAACTTGGGCCAGTATGGTAAGTGCTACTGAATGTTTGTTAAATGAATAAACACTAGGAGAGAGTCATGCTGCTGAGCTCCTGGGGGTGACCCTGGCCCTGAGGTGCTTGCTGGTTCCACAGCTCCCCAGAGCTAGCAGACACCACATCCCTCTTCACCTCAGTACCTAAAGAATCCCGTCTTCAGGCCATAGCTTCGGAGGATACACTCAGCGAAGGCACAGGTGGAGCCCTAGAAAGGAAAGTTCTTGTCTGGGCAGGCCCCACCACCCACCCCAAGTGGACACCCGACTCCTGGGTCCTGTCCCTCACCTTCCCCTTGGTCCCAGTGACATGAATGATGTTCAGCCTGTCCAAGTCCTCCACCTAAGACAGACAGACAGACAAAGCCCCACCTCAGCCACAGGACTCAGGCTGTGGTGGGTGGTCACAGGCCCTGGCCACCCTACCTGCAGCCCACTCCGTGCCAAGTACAGCTTCATGGCTTCCAGCTGGGTCTGGGGGTCACCTCGCTGGCGCTTCACCTGCTCCAGATAGCCGGCATTGGTCTGCAGGGTGTTGAGTGTCCGCACAGCATCCTGACAATCACAGTCGCCAGGTAGCAGCTGGTTAATGCTCACTTGGGGCCCATAAGGACAGAAGCCTCCAGCGCACCAGTGGCCAGGCCGGGGCACCTCGCCTGCTTGGCATCCTGGTGCCCCAGCCTAGAGGTTAGGCACTGGTGAGAGAGAAGTAGCATCTTTCCAGAAGTAGAATCTTTCCGGTTCTGACAGAGATGGGAGCCTGGGGCAGTTTAGCCCCACCCAGGGTGTGCCAGGCAAAGCAGAAAGCAAGACTAACGGAACTACCCTCCCTGCCTGTTTGGGGCCTTTGCCCTTATTCCCCCCAGGGACCACTACATTTGGTCCCTACTGGCATGGGGCCAGAACCACAGAAGACTGGGGTATTAGAATTGGAGGAATTAGAACTAAGAATCCCTGGAGGCTTCCATGCCCAACCCCGAGGACTGGGGTTCCATTCTGACCCAGAGAAGAGCTGCTTGGAACAACCAGATGAGGAAGAGGCTCAAAGGGAAGAGTGTGCCGGGGGTCACCAAGAAAAGCAGGCAGGTACAGCCTCAGGGGCGTACACACTGGGGGTGACGTTTCCCCCACCCCCAGGACCTGAACGGCTGGATGGAGGCCCCAACCTATTAAACTGGTGCCACCTGCCTAGCTGGCATCAGTTTCTGGTCTCTGGCAATTGGCCCCTGTGCAGAGCCTGGGGGAAATTCTGTTTTCCGGATTCCTGTCTCCACCCTAACCCTGTGTCCCTCCTGCCCACCTCCAAGCACTCAGATTCCCACCTCCCGAATCCTGGGGACTCCAATCCCCCACCTATATACTCCAGGATGTCTCAAGTCTGAGCTGAACCCCTTTCCCCTCCCACTCCCAACCCTCAACAGCTGGTCCCGACTCCGGAGTCACTGGAACTCCAGAACCGCAGCCGGGCCACTGGACCTCTTGGTTCCGTCACCGGGCTATCCTTCCTACTCTATAATGCGGGGCACTTCAAACTCAAAATTCCCAGATCCAGCGGCCCGAGCCCAACTTCCTGGTCCCTGTCCCCATCCCCGGACTCCAGAATGTCCCCGCCCCCGAGTCCCCTAGTCTCAGGCTCCCGGTTCTTCCCTCCGCCGGCGGAGCCCGGATGCTGCGTGGCTTGAAACTGGCCCACGTGTCATTGCACAACCGCCCGCCGGCCCGCCGGCTACCTGGTACTCCATGCCGGGCTCCTGAGGCGCGGGCCACGCGGCCAACCCTCGCCGCGTTGCGGTCCCGGTCGTTGCACCGCGCTGAGAAGCTGCCGCTAGGAAGAGAGCGGCGCGCAAGTGGCGCCGTGCCTGCGACATAGTCACAGCGCAGGGGAGAGGGCCAGGACTGGGACGGAGAAGCCCCGCCCCGCCTCGCCTCGCCTCCGCCCTCCGCCAATCAGCGCCGCCCGAGGAGCCCTCGGCACCAATAAGGAGCCACCGAATGCCATCCTTGTGAGGGGCAGGCCGGAGGGCTTCGCCCATGTTTGTGAGGGGCACACTCCTGGGGGCGTCTTCCTCCTCCCAAAGACCCAGCCGCACCCACAGAAATAGCCAGTCCCAGTCAGCGGCCCGCGGCCTCTGTTGCCGGAACCAGCTTTACGCCAGCGTAGACAGAGCTGGCGGAGGACCATGGAATCCCGGCCCCGAAATGTCCCGACTCAAGGCAGAGACCGCAGGCTGCTGGGATGTGGCCTCTGCCCTCGAATCTGACAGCCCGACTGAGGAGCAATACACCAAAATCCAGGCCACCTAGGCTGCTTGGACCCTTAATCAGCTCTGGGAAGCCCGGAAAGCTTCCTGGAAGAAGCCACATCCAGGCTGAGGCCTGGGGAAGGGTAGAAGTGGCGTCGGGGGGAGAGGTTTTCATGCAAAGGAAGGGAATGATGTGTGAAAGGCCAAAAACTGAAGAGAGAGAGGGAGAACTAGGCACCCCAGGGAACCCGCACCGCCACCTAGGTGGGCATGGTTGCCTTGGAGTGCCAGGATGCCGGGTCCAGCAGCATCTCGTGGCCTGAGAAGAAATTGGTTTAATTTGAATGACAATAAAATGGTTTTAAGGAGGCAGGATAAGATCAGATTGGCACTTTGGAAGATCTGCTGTGGGGAGAATGGGTTGGAGAGCCCCCTGAGGAGGGGGCAGTAATCTGTCCCACCTGTGGGTCAGGAGAACTCCCGTTTTTCCCAGAGTTCTCACAGCTTACCCTGGCTATGACCTTCTCGGTCCCAGCTGCTAGCATGGAAAAAGTTGCCCAGAAATTCCTCTTTTGTAGCTGAGGTCCAAAAGGTGTGCGTATGGGTTTGGCGGAAGGGGGGGAGGTGCCCCAAACTACCCTCTAGGGAAGTTCCCACAGAGAAAAGACAACCCTTCAAACAGCTGATAGGATTTCAGTACCTACCTCCCTCTTTCCTACAGGCATGGTGGAAAACATTAATCAGAAATATTTATATATTTATCAAAACATTTTATGAAAATCAGTTTGATTTTGCAATAAACAAATGAAGTGCTGGGAAGATTCCATCACTGGCTGGACTTAAGCTCTTCCCATTACTGCTGAGCAGGCCCACCCCTGCCCCATGGGAGACAGAGGTCCTTTCCTCTCTTGGTTTCCTTCTTGTTTTTTAATCATTGAAACTTTTCCTCTATATATAGATGTACATAATTTAATAACTGCATAAAAAATTATTGTAAAGGAGCTTCAAATGTTTTTTTGCTTATCTCCTCCCACTTCCTCCTTTGATGATCTCTGTTAACAGCCAAGTATGCGTCTCAGTTTACTATGCTCATGAAATCACAGATACCCCTAGACACCTGTAGGGTGTTGTCAGTGCAGATAACAATATATTCTGCATCTTAGTTTTCTTTCTTGACAACAAGTTTATTGGGATCCCTTTAACACATTTACTTAGCAAAATGTTAAGTGTACTTCTCTGGGCCAGGTTCGGTCCTGAACACTTTTTACATAGTTGTTCATTTAATCATCACAACCCTATGTAACAGATACTAGTATTATCATCCTTGTTTCACAGGTGAGGAAACTGAGGCACAAAGGAATAAAGGCACATCCCAAGTCACAAAATCAAGATTTGACCTTTGACCCTGGAGTCCTTCTTCCTAGTCTCTGTGCCTCCCTCCTGACCACCCCCATGCCACTTGGTGTTGGCAACTCAGTGGCAGTGGCGATACCATGATGCATCCTCCACCTGCCTGATGCAGGGCACTCATAATACCTTTAGTGTTTTGCTGCTCTGGACTGGAGGCTTTTATTTCTACAAGTGAGATTGCATGGAGTGAAAGGATGGGTCCAGGGGGGTTTGCATTCCTTTCCCAGGAATGCAAGACCCCCTAACTTTTGCATCCCACCAGCTATGTGTGAAGAGAGTACCCCTTTCCCACAATGTCTGGGTGTACCTTCTCATTGTTATTCTGCATGTCCCTGGCCATGGTGAGCATCTTTCCATGCATTTATTTCAATGAACTACCTCACTCATCCTTGACCCACTTTTCTGTCTGTTTATCCCTTCTTATTAATTATAAAAGCACTTAGAGTATCATAGATATTACTCCTCAGTTCTGCCCTCTATATGGCAAGTATTTTTTCTCCATCTACTATTGGTAGCCTCAGTTGATTCATATTTAACAGGGAGCACTGGTGCTCTGGGCCATTCCTCGAGAAATGAGATCCCATGGGAAAAGGTCCCAGGAGGGAGATTCCCTCCTCTGGTGTTAGGTGGAAAACCCCCTTTGCCTACCTTCCTGAGTCTTAGCTGATTTCTTTCTCTTAGCTCTGAGCAAAGAAGTTTGTGTCAATTCCCTCTGGCCTGTCACAGACCTTCTCCAGAGCTGAGTGGATGTGAAGTCCTGACAGTCATTGAGCGCAGACCTCAGCTCCAGTTGGAAACAAAAATAGACATACAGACATGGCAAGCAAAGAAAATTCTAGGGATCCTACTTGGTATCATCCCAGTTGTGCAGGAAATTTTAAGTGGTGACTGGAGCCTTGGCAAAGCAATCCAGTGGCCTTGGGAGGTCACCATTCTCCTGGACCCCTGTTACTACATAGTTTCCAAGGACAATTTGCATAGCCATTGATGCTGGGAAATTTGTAGGCATCAAATTTAAGTGCAGGTGAAAGTAGAATAGGTTTTTTTCTTTTCCCTATTAAAATCTCTCCTTACTTTTGTTTTTAAATTCTAATAATTTCTGGATGGATAATACATCATATCATTCAAATAGTCAGAGGTACAAAAAGATTTATAGTGAAAAGCTTCCCTCCCACCCCAGGTCCCAGCATCCTAATTCCCCTCTCAAAAGTAGTAAGTTATGTTTCTTGTGATCTTTCCAGAGATATCTTATGCATTTACAAGCAAATACAAATATATGTAGATTTCTCTCTTAGTTGAGATTACTCAAGGTAGCAGATCACATACATGAGTCTGCACTGTACTTTATCCACATGCCCTTATATCCTGGACCTTATTCTGGGCTGTGTCAGTACATAAGAGCCACCCCATCGGCTAATATCTGTTTCTAAGCTGCACAATACTCCTTGATGTGGAACTGCTACTGTGTATTTGGCCAGTCTCCTACTGATGGACATTCAGGTTTCCATTATTTTGCTATCATAAGGAATGCTGCAATGGGTAGCATTTTACCCCCATTATTTCTTCTATGTGTGAGCGTATCTGATGGATTGATTCCAAGAAGTGTAATTGCTGGGTTGAAGGTGATTTGCATTGGACACCTTCATACATATGGCCACATCGTCCTTCAGAGGGGCAGGACTGGTTTCCTCTCCCACACCCCCACAGGACCTGAGCCAGCTATTTCCTCACCAACACAGACCGCTGGCCAGTTTTGATCCTTGCTAAGCACATAGGTGGGAAAATGGATTCTCAGGGTAGCTATCATCTGTATTTTATTTTGTTTGGAGGGGGCTGAGAACTTTTTCTTAGGTTTAAACACCACTTTCCCTTTAAGGTCTGCTCACTTCCTCCGAAAAGATGTCATCTATCCATTCATTCATTCACTATTCATTTGGTGAGAAAGTTGTCATTGCTAGCTTTGAAAAGTCACAGGTGTTCGTCGAAGGAATTAGAGAAATGTGTAAAGGAGAAAATCCAAAGCATTTTCACTGCACACCTGGGCAACCACTGTTGGCCTTTTGGTGCTACCATGAAGGCATTCTTGCTCCCTGGAAAAAGACAATACAAACAGCCATTGTCTGAAGAGAAAAGAAAAAAGGAGAGCACAGGGAAATTGGCAAGGGGCCAGTGTCCACCACCAGAGGCAGATCTGCCCGTGTGCGTGGAGGTGAGTGAGGGGCCGAAGGATTCTGTTTGACTCTCCACCCTCCCGAAAGGAAAAGATGTCATCTATCCATTCATTTATTCACTATTCATTTGGTGAGAAAGTTGTCTCTGTGCCAGACCCTGGGCTGGGTGCTGGGGACACTGGGTCCTGGCACAGATGGCAAAGTTCTGCTTGTGGAATGCCCTTTCCGGGGGTGAGAGGGTGACAAAGAAGGAAACTCACAAAGGAATACACACTCTGTATTCCTTTACAACTGACCAGAGCCACCCTCATGGCTGTAGGGACAGGAGGCTGAGGCCCAGAGAGGGACAGAGACAGCTTGGAGCCACACAGCAGGTCAGCAAAGGCTCTGTACTGGGTCCCAGGCTGAACTTTCTAAATTCAGACCTGCCTGACTACTGCCCCTCTCCTGCCCCAGCATGTCCTCAGATTAACAAAGTTCACAAGCCCACTGAGGCCTGGCCACTGTCCACCTTCCACGTCATCTGCCAGGGCAGGGTAATGTCCCTGCCAGCAGGCAAGGACTTCCCAAATTGGCCTTGGCCTCTCTCACCTCTAAGCTTTTGCTCCACAACATGGGCATCTGCCTGAAACGACTTTCCCCTGTACTTTTCTTCTTTGTTTTCTGGGTTGGTTGATTTCAGCTAATGTTTATTAAGCACTCCTCCTATACTTGGCATTGTAATCCCTCTTCATGCTCTTGAAAACTGCATGAATTAAGAGGTTATCCCCATTTTACAGGTGGAGAAATGGACCCAGGGTGACACAGCCAGTATATGGCACAGCCAAGATTCAAACCCAGATCTGCAGACTCTAAAGTCTGTCCTTAATCAACCACCACCTGCTTGGTCTCTCTGGTTCTCTGCTGCCCATGTGCTGTGTGACCCTGGACAATTTGCTTTCCCTCTCTGATCCTGTCTGACTCTTCATCTCCTCTTTAGTAGAGTGAGCGCTGAAATGGTCTCTATTCCAGCCCATAATTTCTGGGGATATCTGCGTGGGGGGGATGTCTTGATGAGGAGTCTCCAAAGGTCACCAAACTCCAGGAAGCCTGGACTAGAGGCGCCCAGCTGCCCCTTCCCCACCCTCACCCGGCATTCGGCGGAGACCAGTGGAGGAAGCTCATTGGCAGGTTTGTGCAGAAGCCTAGCATCCAGAAGGGAGGGTGCCTTTCTGATGGCCACTCCGGGGTTCTGACCCTCTGGGATACATAGGACTTTTCCACCTCTGAATATCTATTTACATCCCATGACCTACCAGGAAACACGTTCTGTGATTGGGGTGGCAGAATTCCACATCCTCAGTGGGGGGGCCTCTTCTGCTCCTCACCCTGACTCTGGCTACTATGGTATTAATGGATTTAGGTCATTAGGAAGGCAGCTGGGCCTTAAGAATGGGCCTCCCTTTGACCCTGTAATTCTACTTCTGAAAAATGACCCCAAGGAAACAATCGGAGCTGTGTTCAGAGACCATGTGCTCTGAGATTGTGTATCACCCTCCATCTCGGGTGGCAGGTGACATGGCTGATGACGCCCTCCTTCCGGAAACCCTTTGTTCTCTGGCCTTCCTGGACACCTCCCTTCCTGGTTCCCCTCCTTCCTTGCTGACTGCCCTGCCCCTTGGCACTTAACGCTGGAGGGCCCGGGGCTCACGCCTGTCTCTCCCAGGTGGTCTCCCACTGACCCGGGTCTGCTATGATGCCTAACTTTCAAATGACGCTCTTCACTGAGCTACAGACATGAGTGTCTGGTGGCCTCCCAACTGCTCCCCCAGGCATGTCCACAGGCATCCTAAACTGGTTACATCTAGAACATGTGTTTTTTTTAAATATCTACTCTGAGACCTTCACATCCCAGGTCTTCCCAGCTTGAAACATCTCAGCACCCACCCAGCTGCTCAAGTCCAGAGCTGGGCCTTACCTTGGGCTTTGCCCCCAGGCCCATCCACTCTACCCCATGACTCCTCAGCAGCCGTGACCTTCTCTCTGGGCCTCCCTGCAGCTCAGGCCACCTTGCTGTCATGCCCGAAACCTCCTTGATGCTTTCTCTTGACCCCTATGACCCCTCTCCAACCCTTTTAAAGAAAAACAGATCTTGACTCTCTTCTGCTTAAAACCCTCCAGTGGATTCCCACTGCCTTAGAATGAAATCCACACATTTGATCTTACGTTTCTTACCATCACCTCCAGCCCTGCTGGCCTTCCTTCTGATCCTCAGATACATTAAGCTCATGCCCACCTTCGAGAAAAATCCACATCTAGTGAGCACTGGGCATTAAAAGTCCTCATTTAAGCCTCACACCAGCTTCAGGAGTACTGTGTTCATCCTCATACAGCTGGGAACCAACACACAAGTGGTTACTCAGTCAGCAAAAGGTCACAAAGAGTGAAT